GAAGACGGCGCGCGTTTTCAGCTTGCGCGCCCAAGTCCGCGGACGCGGTATTTTTGCGGGGGCGCAGACTCAGAGCTTTACGGATTCCAGCCGCCCAGCGCGCCCTTAGTCTCCAAGGGTGGCCTAGCTCCTGCAGCCTTTGTTTCGTCGCCGGCCAGAACCGCAATTCTGGGGGAGGGGCGCCCTAATGCGCGGGTATTTAGATTCTCGGCGATCATCCGTCTCAGCTAGTGTCTTGGCCCCGCGGAGAGTAGTGTCAGCCTTCCTGATGGCTCGGTGCTTTGGGGTCGTCGGTCTCCATTGTAATTGCCTGATCGGCCCCGTCGCGTCTGGACGGGCCAATTTGGGGTTATCCAAGAGCATCGGGTCTCGCATTCCCCGCTCGGGAGTTCCCTTCGTCGCGGGCGGCAATGTCAACGTAGCCCCCGAGACGCAGCGCGAATGCGCGAGGCCAGGAGAGAACGACGGAGAGATTGGCGCGCCCTCGTGCCCCGCGCGCACCGTCGGGGGCAATGGGGCCACGATCGACAATGCGATTGCCCGCAGGAAGCTGGCTTTCGGTTTCGAGGGCGCGGCTGTTGAGTTACGCGCGTACTTAGGAGGCAAATGTCTGGCCCAAGGCTCCGATGAAGGTCTGATTCATGTTTTCGCTGGATATTTGCCTCGAGTCTGGCCCTCAGCGCCAACTCTGATTTAGGTCTGATTGGAAATATGACTTAACTCTGGCCCTCAGACCCATGTCTGATTTAGGCCTGACGTGGAACTCTAATTTAGGTGTGATTCTGGTTTGGTTTGGGCGCTTCGAAACCTATGTCGCGGCGTCGGCCCAGAATGCTGCCGGGTTGGCCCCGCGCGCGTGCGTCTGCGAGAACAACCAAAGAAATGCGAAAACCAAGCGGCAGGTCATGGCTGGGGACCCAGCCGCCAGCTGCCAAATCTTGCGAGCTGGACCCGCCTGCGCACGCCGCCCTGCGGCCATGCGAAGGCTGAGGTATGCGCGGGGGGCGCGGGGAAGCGCCCCCCGCCTGCGCGGCCCTGCCCAGCGCTGCACGACGGCAGCTGTGATCAAACAGGGCTCGCCCGAGGCCCCCCCTCGGGCCGGGGCTGCCGGCTGCCTCGCCGCGACGCGGCGCGCAGTGCGGCGGCCGCCCCAATCCCCGCCGCCCGCCCATGACAGGCCGGGGGCAGACGACGCGAAAGAGGAACGCCGTTTTTTTCGGAAGTATCGGGCGCGCGGGAAGCGCCCGGGGAGGTTTCTGAGAGGTTTGGGGAATGGGGTGGGCCCGGGAGGGATTCGGAAGGCGCGCGAGGGCGGAGGCGGCCGGGAAGGCATTCGGGGAGGTTGGGGGGAGGAGTGGGAAGGGCTGGGAAGCATTATACAGGTCAGGAGGACGGTCGGAAGCCAGCATTGCGCCGATTTCGCTTCAGCGAGCCTGCGGCCCCGGTTCCGAGGAGGCCAGCATCCGGCGCGCTCCATGCTTAATTCAATGACGCGGAGAATCCAGTTGCAGCCCCTGCGCTTGCGCGCGAAATCCACGCCCGCGTGGGCAATCCAGTCCGCGAGATGCACCTCGCCAGCAACGGCCAGTTTGGCGCGGCCAGGATGGGTCGGAAGGCGCTCGCGTCGGAGATCCTCTAGCCGCATGTCTCCGAGAGCAGCCAGCAGCTGTGCCGCGACGCCCCGGCGCGCGAATGGTCGTCGCGCTGGCGCGCTCGGTCGCGGGGGCGCTGGACATCCGAGCAGCCGAGGCGAGCGCGAAGGCACGGTCCTGGGCATCGGCTACATCGACGCGGACATCTTACAAGCGCGGCGCGACGCGCCGACTCAGATGCGGGTTGGTTTCGACAGTGTGCTTCAGACCGTGGCCGGATTGATCGCTGACCTGATCGGCGGCGACGTCGCCGCCGCCCCCCCGGGGCCTCCCCGACCAAGGCCCAGCTGGACAAGCCCATCTACCTCCGTCCACGGGCCGAGGGTCTGCCCAGAGTGCCCGCTGGCGCTCTCTCGCTGGCGCGCTGCGTCGCCGGCGGTTTCGCCGACGCCCCCCCGCCTCTGGTTCCGTCAGCTACGCGACTTCCTCGCCAGCATTTGCGGCGGCCAGCGCCCATTGCACGATGCAGATTTTTGCTGGCGAAATAGATGGGGCGCTTGGCGCAGAGACATGGCATGCACGCGGTCGATCTCATCAGCAAAGGGGATCCAATGAGCGGCGCTGACTTGGCAAATAAAAGGTGCAATCCTTCCGCTCGCAGCAAAAGGCGGGGCATTGAGCTGACCTGCTGCGGCGAGCGCGCGGTCAGGCAGCTGGAGGACAACGCGTTCGCCACCCAGGGAATTTGTTCGAACCCGCGCGCACAGGCGCCTACGTCGCGACGCAGATGGCGACGCCAAGGGGTACACGTACACACGATGAGAAGACCAATTTCTCCAGCCACGCTGGCCCGCCTCATCGCTTGTCCGGCCAGGCCAGGTCATATCTTGCAGCGGCTGCGCCACTCGGTCAAACATCGAACTTTACTGATTCCAACCCCATGGCCAATAATCGCACGCCGCGCGACGGTCGAGATGCCAAGGATTATGGGCCGGCGCTTGTGAGTTCGGATTTTGCGCGCGGCATTTTCGTGGCGCTTGCAAATGCAGGTCTGGCGCCCCCTTGGGACAGTCAAAACCGGCCGGATTTCGTGGTCTTTTGCGCACGCAAGGATTGTCATGCAGCGCGCGGCGGAGCAGCCTCATTGATCGACTGGCGATCCCACCGCGCCGGGCGAGCGGCGCACAGCACGCTGGCAGCTGAAGCGACGGCGATGGATGCAGGCGGTGGCGCAGCATACTTTCTTCGCCATAGTTTTGCAGGAGTTCTTCACAAGGGGTTCCGGCCAAGCTTACTTGGAAAACTGTTGGCGAGTTCCATGCCAATTAAGTGGCTGCAGCTTGTAAGTCGTTGTGTGACACGCGCACGAAAGAGTGTGTTCCCTCGACGACGTTTGGCCGTCCTCTCAGCGCCGAAATCGCAGCTGTTGCACACGCCGCCGAGGAATCGGATAACGAACGCCCCAAACAGACAGCGCTTTGGGCCCCCACCGATCGCCGCATGGCCGGCCACTTCAGTAAGGTTGTCTCGTAGTCAATGCCGCGAGCTCCTTGCTCAGACTTTGTTGAGCTTGCGCTCGGATCGGAATTGGCCTCTTGTTTGTTTTGTGTTGGGTGTAAAGTCCAGGGGTTCGCCTACACTGTCCCATGTTTCCCATGTCGAAGTTTCCCGTCGTCTGTTGCGTAATATCGGCGGAAAGTATGCGACAGTTGTCTGTGCGCGTCTTAGTTCCCATCCCTCCTATGGTTGGGTACTCGATTTGAATAGAGCAGTGTGGTCGCCCCGTCCTCCTCCTCCTCCTCCTCCTCCTCCCCCTCCTCCTCCCCTTCTCTTCCCCTCCTCCTTCTCTCAAGTTTCCTGTGTTCCCTTCGCCTCTTCTCTCGTGCCGTCTGCGCAACTTTTGCCACTTTCGTGGGCTCCTGGGAGGCCCAGCGGAGGTAATTACGTCCCACGCGGACCACCTCGGGACCTCGCCGCCCCTTGTTGGGCTTGCGATTTGCGCAACTGTCGCCACTTTCGCGGGCTCCTGGGAGGCCAGGCGGAGGTGCGTCCCACGCGGACCACCTCGGGACTTCGCCGCGCCCTGTTGGGCTTGCGATCTGCGCACCTGTCGCCATTTTCGTAGGCTCATGGGAGGCCCGGCGGAGGTGCGTCCCACGCGGACCCCCTCGGGACCTCGCCGCGCCCTGTTGGGCTTGCGATCTGCGCACCTGTCGCCTTTTTCATGGGCTCCTGGGAGGCCCGGCGGAGGTACTACCCTCGGGACCTCGCCGCGCCCTGTTGGGCCTGCGATCTGCGCAACTTTTGCCACTTTCGTGGGCTCCTGGGAGGCCCAGCGGAGGCGCGTCCCACGCGGACCACCTCGGGACCTCGCCGCGCCCTGTTGGGCCTGCGATCTGCGCAACTTTTGCCACTTTCGCGGGCTCCTGGGAGGCACAGCGGAGGTACGTCCCACATGGACCACCTTGGGACCTCGCCGCCCCCTGGGGGGCTTGCGATTTGCGCAACTGTCGCCACTTTCGCGGGCTCCTGGGAGGCCCAGCGGAGGTACGTCCCACGCGGACCCCCTCGGGACCTCGCCGCGCCCTGTTGGGCCTGCGATCTGCGCAACTGTCGCCACTTTCGTGGGCTCCTGGGAGGCCCTTTTGTGTTCACTGTTCGGGCGCGTTTCGTGCAACGCCCCTGTGTTTCATTCTGTATATGTGCCGTTCCTCTTCTTGCTGGGCTCTTCTGAAATCACTGCTGGGTGCTCTTTTTGCGTACTGCGGGTCCTTCAGAATGCCAGTCAGCATTGAGTGGGCCTGAGTAGAATCGCCATATTTATAGAAATGGTTGGGTACGTCACAAGGTATTTTTTGGGGTCCGGCTAGTTTCCAGAGAGTGCAATGTTTGTCGGGTGTTTTGAGGCAACAGAAAAGGAAAGTGAGTGCAATCTCGCAACGTACATGATTGCGCCCTCTTTCCCTCACCTGTGTCCCCTTGTTTCCCTGACTGTGCCCCTGCTTCTCTCATCCGACGCCGTTTCGGTCCCTGTCAGGGCCTTTGCGCTTTCAGGCGCGAGAGGCCTACTGTGCGCACACGGAGAAGATAAACATGTCATCGTAGATTCTTGTGAATCAAAACCAGGTCTACTACATCACCTACGCACGCGTTTATTGATTCATTCTTATCGAAGGAGGCATGACTAGGGGGTCAGCATTTTGACAAGGCGGGGGGACCTCATAGAAACTGGGGTGGCGCTCGCACGTGCGATGCTTACTGAAAAGACACGGGCGGCATCTGGGAAAGAGGCCCCCCCTCGCCCTGCCCCCTTCAGTGTGCCGCCAAGCCTCCATCTTATCGGAGCTGCCCTCCCCTCCGCTCTCCACCCTCTCTCCACCCCCCCGCTCTTTGCACGCGCTGTGCCGCAGCATGTTCTGGCTCAAGGAAATGGGGCGGTTCCCCAGCCATCTCCGGACGAGATGATCGCGCAGCTGCAGTCGAAATGCTCAGGCCGCGAGGGGTTCTCCAGATCTGCACGGGGAGAGACAGGGAGGCCGACGGAACAGGCGGGGGGGATAATTCCAGGAAGTGCACACACGTATCAAGGCGCGTAGACTGGCGACAGCTACTGCATTCCATGCAACATGGGCGCGCTCTTTCTCCAAATCAGGCCGCGTGGGGGCTTTGTTTCGGGCGGGGCCAGCCCCTGATCCTTGGATTTGGCGCCCACGCTCCAGATCAATGGATCGGATCCCTGAGTTGTTGACCGCAGTCGCTCAAGCGGGCCTCGGCCACCTGTCCTCTCCCGGGCTTTGCCCGACGCCCGAGGGCGGTGGCCAGGCGCCCCCTGGACGCCGACGCCTTCTCAGAGGCGGGGGGTCTCCTCTTTGGAAGGCCCAAACGGTGCGGTGACCACACCGGTCGGTGAGTCACAGGGATTCGGAATGACTGCCCAGTTTTGGGACGTGTGTCGTTCTCCGTGGATGCCCCGGGCGATTGGAGTCTCCGGGCTCCCGAAATCGTGCGGTGACGGACCGCGCGGCGAGGTCACCGCACGGTCTGCCACCGCACCGCTCTGGCAAGCCCCCCCAGAACAGCGGTGGGGGGAGTCGGGGGGGGGGAGTAGGGGATCATAGGGTGGCTTTGTGTCTGGCCCAAAGCCACCCTATGACCCCCTACTCCCCCCCGACCCAACGGGAATCCCCCTTTGGTCGGCGGTCGCAGCAAATGTCGCGAAGGCGCCCCCGTTTTGCGCTCCAGCTGCGCACCTGCCACCCAGCCCCATTTCGGCGCCGCGCTGGCGCGGTGGCGGCCCGGACGCGGGCGGTCGAGGTGGAGCGCCCCGGGCTGCTCTCGCGGGCGCAGCAGAGCGCCGAACGGTCTGGGTCGTCGGAGCGCGGCGACCCTTTGAGGCAGCACGAGCCACGCGGCCCCCCCCGGACCGACGCCCACGCCCGCGTCCTTGCGTCAGGAGCCCGCCACGCCTGCGCGCGTCTAAGGTCTCGGACCCCGCCAGGGCCGCGGAGAAGGAAGGGGAGGGGGGGGCGGCGGTCCGCGCGGGCGCCTTCGTGCCAACGCGGCGGACCCCCTTGGCGGCCTGCCTGAGCCACGGAGTTAGGTCGCCGTGTCCTCGTGCGCTGTGCCCATGCCTTCCCCGACGGGTGCCACCATCGAAGTGCACCGAAGCGTGTCGGGCATCTTCAGAAGATCTCTCAGCTCGCCAGAGGCCTTGCATAACTCTGGAGGCGTTCGGAGGGTAGTGAACTATTCGAAATGATTCGGGTGGTTTCTGCAGGCCACTGGGGGGCCTGAAACGGTCAAAGCGGCGTCCAGAAACGTCCAAGGGATGACGAGATTCGAGAACCTCAAGGCTCCCAGACCCTCAGAGACATTATGATATTTTTGAGATCGTCCATAATCAGATTTCATTGCTTCGCTCAGTCCGCCAGTCCATATTGCCTCGCCGCAGTCTTTTGTTGGGGTGTTGTTGTCAATGCGGTTCCGTTGGGCGGCTGCCGTTTTTCGGAGGCGTTGGGTGGTGGGTTAGAGGCCTCACGGATGTCGGTTGGGCTCTCGTGGTTGGCCTTTCGGGGGCCTTTGGGGGGCAGTTTTGACGCATCTTTGGGGCCGTGTTGGGGCCTCTTGGGGCCTCTTGGCGGCCTCGTGGGGCTTCTTGGCGTGCCTCTCGGGAGCTCCTTGGGGCCTCTTGGGGGGCCTCCTGGGGGCCTCCTGGGGGCCGCTTGGGGGTGAAGGCTGGACTTTTCGGTTACTGTGGTCCCCGTCTCGGGCCCCTCTTGTCCCTAGCCATTTGGGCTCAAGCCATGTTGGCTCAAGTTCCAACGTGGCTCCTGGCGCTGGAGCTTGATCGCGGCCGAGGGGGCAGGCTCGAGGGCCCTCACAGCATTCCATTTCACGAACGCCTGGGCCTGCCTGCCAGGGCGTCCCAGGCTTGTCCGCCCGTGGTTCGCCCCACGGTTGGCGGAAGGTGCCACGCCCCAGCCGTCCTCAGTCCGCACATGGGACCCGCCGCTCGGTATGATGAGACGTCGCGGGCAGGTCCCATCCAGAGCGGGCACAAGCGCCAGAGGGCTGCGTGGGCCAGACCGTGGTATATGAAGCACTTCTGGTCTGCTCCGGCGGGGGATCGGTATGTAACAGGGCGGACTTGGACAGGTGCTAGCTTTGTAAGCAGCACGAGGGTACGGCGTTGGGAGGCCTTCAAGAGCAGTTCGGCCAGCCGCCCTCCAACAGCGCCCGTGTCGCTGCCGGAGGGGGGTTGAGGTCAAGAAGCTGCGGGCGGAGCTATCCAGGCTCAAGGGCCAGCAGTCGCAGCAGGGTGGTGGGCCCGATGTCATGGAGCTTGATGACTTCGGCAAGTGGCCCAACGTCGGTATCAAGCGTGAGCTGGCCGTGGTTAGTGCAACCTTGGCGACGCTCGAGTCCGCAACGTGTGCTGAGCTCGTCGAGGCGCGAGAGAAGTTGCGGGGCCGCCACATTGAGTTGCGAAGGAAGCTTGTCGCGGGCAAGAGTCTGGACACCAGGCTCAAGGGGATCTCTTTCCTATTCCAGAACCTGGAGAAGAGGAAGGAGAAGCATGAAAAACACGTACCAGACCTCCGCGAAAAGGTGCGCACGGCTGAGGTGGTTGTCAAGGAGGCCTGTGTACGATTGGACCGCGTTTGCGCCGAGCTCCTGGAACTCGACGAGGAGCGTCTCAAGCTGGTGGCCCAGGTGCCGAGGCCAGAGCAAAGCGAGGTTCCGTCGTTGGCCCACGTGCTGCCCATCCTGGCGGATGAGTTCCCTGCAGAGCGGCTGGACGAGCTATTGTCCTCCTTCGCGGCGGGTCGGGGGAATTGGCGGAGCGGCCCCACGACTGCCGGGCGGAGGAACGCTCTCCGGCGGTACCGCGTCGCGCCGAGCAGCAGCGCCGACCTGTTGAGGCGGCCGGGGCCACGAGGCAGGCGGCCGCGCAGGCCGCGGGCCAAGGCGCGGGCGCCCCCGGCGCGGGCCCGGGCGGCACGGCGGCGGGGGCCGCGGCCATTGCCGCAGATGCTGCCGCAGCCGAGGCCGCGGCCCTTGGGGCGCCGAGCTGGATTCCCCAGGCCGACGGTGATCCCGAGGTGCCCCGCACCTTCTGGCAGTCTGTCAACATGCAGGTGCCCCATGGAGACGAGGAGCTGCGGGAGGCGGTCAGGTGAGCTGGCGAGAACTTTTCGGGCATCGCCAAGAACCAGCGCTGCGACGAGCTCTAAGTTCTGGGTCTCCGTGGTAGCGCTCATGATGCATATTGCGAAGGCGAATGCATGTTCTCATGGGTCCAGTTCTGGATCTTCGTGGTAGCGCTCATGATGCATACTGCGACGGTGAATATATGTTATCATGAGTCTCTGGCAGAGCTGCTTGAGGCTGAGCGGCCAGGGTGGCAGTCCCTAGCGCGCTTTGCTGCCTGGCGCCACCTCACGGAGGACACGCTCGGGGCCTTTCGGGGGGGGGGTCCGAGCGGCAGGACGTCATGGAGCGTGGGCTGTAGGAGAAGCAACGGGTGCCCCTGGAGGCTGGGGGTCGACAGGTGGCGTCGCAATGCGCTGTCCCACAGATGTGCAGATCGCCCGTCCGCCACTGAGTCCATCGGGGGAGCTGGTTCAGTCATCGGCCGCGGCTGGCCATGCGCCCTCGAAGTTGAAATGTGGATTCATTGCTATCTCGGCTTGCTTCTCAGTCGATGAGTTCCCCGGCCCGATGGCCGCCTACATCCAGCGCGCGCAGGCCGCGGGCTTGGGCTGGATCCCAGGCGCTGACTTCAACATCCAGCCAGGGTTGTGCTGAAGTCGTGGGCTGCGGCCGTCGGAGGCGTCGCGGTCGTCGCCGTGGCCCCGGCGTGCTCGCATAATCTCCCAGGATCGGCCATCTATGATTTTGCCATGCGGGCGCACATGGCCACGCGCGCGACGGCTCCAGGGGCGCGTCTTTCAGCCGCCATGCACGCGACGGCTCCAGAGGTGTCTCTTCGCCCCGTTGCTACGCAGACGCGCGGGCCAGGTACTGCCACGCGGGCGCGAGCGCCGCGCCGTCCGAGGGGGGCGGCGCCAGCGGCGGCGCCGCAAGGCTGCGCGCGCTACCCCAGAGACTGGTCAGGCTTTACTCGAGACGCGGGGCAGGCTCGCACAGCGGATGAGTTGGCAGCGTTTTCGGGGGCGCGCGGCCGCTGGCGCCGAGCAGGAGTTGTCAGACAGGCGCGACGCATGAGCGCCAGCGAGGAGCGACTTCGAGGGGCGCGGTGGGCCACGCGAAGTAGTTCTGGCGACGGGTCAAAACGGCGGTTCGCGCGCGGCTTCCGCGCGCGCGGGCCCGACCGACTCGGCGCGGTGCTCGGCGGCGCGATGGGCTTGGCAGATCCGCGGGATCAGCCGCGTCCTCTTGATGCACGTTCCCGAGCTGGGCGACGGGGGGGGCGAGCAGCGGCGCCGACTGGAGAGGGCGGCGAAGCTGCCGCGCGAGGCCCATGCCTTCATGCGGAACGCGGCGAAGCAGCAGAAGGAGCTGCTGGCTCTGGATCCTTCGACGCTGTTTTCATTTGTCAGGCACGGCGGTCTTTGGCGACCAAGTGACCGGCGACCTGATTCAGCGAATCTTGGGCCAGGCCGAGACACGCCAGTCCAGTTCCTCGGCTCGGAAGAGGGGGCCCGTGGGTGGCCCGGGCGCGGGGCAGTTCTTTGGGCGGGCAGGGCTGACGCGACGTGCTCCGAGTGGGCCGACGTCTGGTCGGCCCGCGGATGCCAGGCGCCCGAGCTGCCGACCGATTCCGCTGTTTGGCCGTCGTTTCCGAAGATAACGAGATTTCCGACATGCGAGCGGCGTTCGCCGAATTCCCCGAGCGCGCCGCTGTCGGGCGCTTATGCGTCCACCCTTGCTTTTTGTTTGTTTGATTTCAGATGGCTGGCTCGTAGCCGCGGCGGCCCCCCTCGCCACCGGTCGCTCGGTCCGTTTTCCGATGGGGAACGGGGGCCGCAGGCTGATAGATCCTCTCGATTCCCTCGTTCGCGTCTCGGCCCGACTGCGCGGGCCCGAGACCGAGAGGCGGAGGTTTCCACCAGGGCGGAGGAGTTTGGGGGGGCGGGCAGGGGGGGGGGGCTCGAGCGATTATGTTTCTGATTTGAATCTCGCTGCAGATATGTCGAATGCGAGAGCGTCGTGTTATGCGGCAGCGCTGCTAGGCGTGACCACGCGTTGCGAGATGATCGAGCTTCTCGTTTTGCAGGTTTGCCGTCAGTTTGGTTTCCCGCCCAAGATGGAACGGGTGCTCATCCAGAGCTACCTGGCGTCGAGAAGGGTCGACGCGTCTGTTTCCCCGTCGGATGCCTGCGCCTGTTTCCAGGGCATGCCCGCGCGGTGCTCGGCTGCTTCAGCTGCGATGCTCGCGGCGCCCGGCCAACTAGTCCGCGGCTTGGTCTCTCGTTTCCCAGCGGCGACTGCGCGGGCGCCCATGGGTGGCGCGTCTCTCAGGTGGGAAGGGGCTGACAGGAACGAAGCCTCCGATTTCTGTGCAGCTACTGGCGAGCTGCGTCGGAGGGTCGCGCCGATCCAGCCCAGCAGGCCGATCGATCGGTTTTCGACGCCAGAAGCACGCGCGCAGCTTTGGTCCTGATCTTTACGGCGGGCGTGTCTCTCGCACGATTCAGGCCCGACGTCGCAGGCAGTTGGGCCTCGGAAAGCATCGGTCGAGCGCTTGGCGACGGGCTGCTGGTGGGCGGGGGCGGTGTTCTGGAGGGCGGGGCTCATGCCGCGCGGCCGCCATGGTGCTACAGTCGCAGGTGTCGCTGAGGCCGCTCTCCGCAGTCTCCCGGCTTGAGCTGCGTCGCTCATGGGAGCAGCATTAACAGTCGCGTGACGCCCTATTTGATCACGCACCGCGCTATTTCGCATGACCCAGCGTTGAATGCGACCGCCCCCCCCCCCCCCCCCCCCCCCCCCCCAGTTTTCAGGCGTTGCCGTTTGCCGCGGGGCGGGCGCGCCAGGGGCTCGGGCCTTATGCGCGTTCGGGGGGCGGCGCCTCAGTTGCTGCGCGGCAAACGTCACCGGTCAAAGGTCGGGGGGGCCATGGGCGCCGTCACCCTCTCTTTGCAGCGCGTAGCGCGCGAGTTGATAGGCCCGCTCCACATCGAGACCGATCAGCAGCAGATCACGCCCCTTCTTCGCACCTCGCCTTGCGATGTTTGGCTGGATTCTGCGGCATGGGCCGCGGCCGCGTGGCTGGCGGCGCGCAAGTTTCAGCGCGGGTGTGGGGCCAGCAGCAAGCGCGATTTTTGTGAGTACCCACCAGCGCGCGCTAGGCCACCAGTTCTAAGAATGTCAAGTTCTGTGGGCCGATAGCGAGGACCCCGACGCAGGTCTGCTGATGCCAGGCGATTGTTTCGAGCACTGTCATTGGCTTAAAGCGCGGGCTAACAGGTCTCCAGCTGATTTCGACTCCCCTGAGTTGGTTTACGGGGTTGGCATCTTTTCATTTTTAGACCCGTCCTGTCGCCGACAAAACGGTCGTTTTTTTCAGGGTACTACGACTGCGCCCTGGGAATTCCGCCTGTGCGCAGATGGGAGTGGCGTGGCGTCGGAAACCCCTTGGGCCTCCAGGTGCGGGTGGTCCGCGGTTACCTTTTTTTCCTTTGGTGGGTGGCCTGCGAAGGCCGACTACGGGGCCCCTATTAGGCCTGTCCAGACAGCTCCGCGGGCGGATCGCCGGGCCATCCTCCGCGCGTCGCGCGTCGGGCCGCGGGGCCCCAAGGTCGCCTCGGACCATGTGTCTGCCGCGTGTGCGGAGGGGTCCCGGGACCGAAGGTTGGCCGCCGGCGCGGCCAGGCGCTCCTCGATTTGGCGCCGGGCTTCCGAGTCGCGTCGCGCGAGGCCTGGGAGGCTCACTTTCCGCCGGAGCCCTGCCCGTCGCGACGCGGGGCAGGCCCCATGGGGGCTAGGCCTTCAGCGGCGAGCCCCTGGGCCTTGAGCGCGGTCGACTGCGTCGGCGACACCTGGGCCGATATCCCTGCACGACTGGGAGCTGCCGAACACGAGCCCCCCAAAGCTTGGACGACTCAGCTTCGCGAGTCGCTTACAGCGTGCGATCGCGCCCTGGATGCCCCGTCGCGAGCTGCGCAGCACGCAGCCGCCTCTCCCCCGGGGGTGCCGATCCCACCCAGAGTGCGCGGCTACGTCGCGCCCCAACTTTCTCTGCTCTCCCACGATCTGGAGGCGGTGGATGGGGCGGCGGGGGGCGCGAGATGCACGTGGCGCCGCTGCTCTACGCGGACGCTTCTGAGCTGGCAGAAGCTGGGGCAGCCTGACGCGAGTTGCACACCGACCGCGCTCCATCTGCACTTCGCGGCCGCGCGGGCCTGGAGGCGCGGGGGGGGGCCCTTCCGTGGGCTCGGTGCGACGTTGTCCAGACTGCCCTTTTTGAGCTGTGGCTCGAGGCATCTGCTGCGGCCCCTGATGGGGCCCCCATGCTTCCTTTGAGCTCAAAGGGCACATCGCGCAGCCAGCAGGCCGCCACCTTGTCTGCCGCCGCTGAGCGGCGCACTGTCGGATTCAAGCCGCGACCTGGCGAAAGCCGCTCGCCGCTTGCACGGGCGATGCTGCCGCGAATCAGGCTCGGTTCAGGGGCGAGGTCCCCGCGGGGCGCGAGCCGCGGCCACCGTCTTGCACAGGTAGGTTCGGCGTCCTGCGTCGGGCCTGCTCTAGCCGAGGTGGCGGAGCTGCTCGCGCGCGCCCGTGTGCACTTTTATAAGGGCGGCGCTGGCCTTCCAGCGTTGCCCTGAGGGGCGGCCTCCTCTGTCCCAGCGGCTTGGGTCCGCCCCTTGTCTTGCTTCCCTCTTGGGGTCGTTTTGGGGCCCTCTTGGATCCATATTGGGCCGTCCTGGGGCCCTCGTAGGCCGTCTTGGGGTCTTTTTGGTGTTTATTGGGACGGTGGGAGGCCGGCTTGGGGCCTTCTCTGGCCGTCTTGGGACGATGTCGGAGGACTCTGGGACAGTTCTAGACGCTGTGACCCCCCAAACGTCGCACATGCGAACATGCACGTTTTCCCAAGGGAATGGGCGATGTTTGCCTGCAGGGGCCCTCTTGGAGAGCCTCTTGAGGCTCTCTTGGAGTTATTGTTCGCGGCCTTTGGGGCCATCTGGAGGCCATCTTGAGCGTCTTGGAACTATCTGTCGGCGCCTCGGGGCTTTTTGGGCCGTGTAGGTGGCGTCCCGGAGACCTCTTGGCGCGCTCTAGAGCGCCCTGGGGGAGTCAGCCGGGCATCGCCCAGGCATCGCCCGCGCATCACTTTGGCATCGGTCAGGCCACTAGTCGCCCGAGGGCTCCCAGTGGCCGCCACGAGCGCGCGAATTTTAAATACTGTCAGCCTGTTATAGGAGATCTTAGCTCGTCTCTGACCCGTTGGGCTGGCGACGGCGGCGACCACGGCGACGACGAACCTACGCGCTGCCCCGCAGCATGCGCCGGCGGGGGGTACAGCGCCGTGCATACGCCGGTTGAGAAGGCCGAGGCTGGGGCCGGGCAGGGCGGCTGATCGAAGCTCGACGATCGAGGCTGGAGAATCGATGTTTTGGATGTTTCGGGGCGCTCCTGCAGGCTTACGTTGCCACGCCTGGCTTCAGCGGAGGAACCGGTGCCGATACCCCTACCGTTCCGTCGTCGTCACGCTTGGATTCGCCTCGAGTTGTTCATAAATCTCTCCACTGGAGAGGTCCGGGGCGTACTGATACGTATCGGTATTTCTTGGCCCCCCTATGGGTGCAGCTCGAACATGTGACCAGGATGGGCCTAGGGCGAGGACCAGGTGTCCTGGAATTTGCTTGGAGTTTCCCTCTCCTCCTTCATGTCCTGCTTCGCCTCCTCCAGATCCCCTGCCTGCCCCCGCTCTTCTCCTTCCCTTTTTCTCCCTCTGATCCTTCTCGTCGTGATCCTCCTCTCCCCCCTTTTCCAGGGGGAGCTCGGCAGGGCGAGTGATCGAGGAGTGATCCAGTCGCGATTTCTGAGAACCCCGTGCTGCAGAGATCACCACGTCTGATGTCCGTGAATTGGGGAGGGTGGGATGGCAGGGCGAGCGGTCTAGGAGGAAGGCCTCCGGCTGGACGGTCGAGGGTCCTGGACGTCTTCCGGCCCTCTCGGGGCCTTCCTGGGGAACTTTGCAGCCCCCAGAGTCCAGGCTGGATGCTGGCCCCGAGCGGTCAAGCGCGTGGGAGCCACTGCTCCTGCTGGGTGGCCCCAAAAACGTCCAGTGACGGACCGGCCGATGACCGACCTCACGTCCGTGACCGGTGGTTCACCACACGGTTTTGGGACCTTGGAGGCCCCACGCGGTTGGCGACATCCTCGGAGGGTCCGCCCACTACGATTCCCCCCGACGCACCAGACGGTGTGGTCACCCCAAACGGCACCCCCAAGGCGGGATCGGGGGCTCCGAATGTGGGGGGGGAAGAATCATCCTGGCAAGTTTGTCCAGGAGTCGCTGTCGGTCTCGCTGTGAGCGTCGTCCGCTCATGACGAGACACGCCCGCCCAACAGTGGCCGTTGTCGGTTGGGGGCAACGTTAGCTGTTGGGCACTGTCCACGGCGAGGTGAGGTGCACCGTGAGGGGTAGCATCAGGGGCGACGGTAAGGGGGGGTTGGCGCAGGGAGGCAGCATCGAGCTCTGTCGCCCATTATTCGCTGATCGATGCTTAATTGCCCACCTGTGCGGCAGCGTCCCCTGCAGACATGACACTGAGGTGCTCTTGCTCCTCGCCACAAGCCTCCACCTCCTATCTCTTCTCCTTCTCCCCACATCCTCCCTCTCCCCTTCGGTCCCCCCTCCTGCTGCCTCCTCATCTTCCTTCTTCCTCTACTGCTTTCCTTTCGTCCTCCCGCTCCCCTCCTCCCTCCCCTCTTTCTCCTCCTCCTCTTCTCCGCAGCCCCGCTCAGCGCAATCAGGTGCAGAAGAAGAACGCAAAGAAGCACGATGATAACGGAGATGCGGGGAGGATCTTGCATCCAATCGACTCCTGCTGTGGGGAGGGGCGTCGAAGCGCCGGGGCGAGAGGGAGGAGGACATGGGATGCGTGAGGTTGAGAAATCGGAGGATGGGGGAGAGAAGGAGGTGGAGGGAAGGAGTGGGATGAGAAGGAGGAGGAGGAGGAGGAAATGGAAGAGGAGGCGGCTGATGAGGAGAAGGAGGAGAAGGAGGAGGAGGGTGAGCCGGGGGAGGAGGATGAAGAGGACGAATGATCAGGTTCAAGATCAGGGTCCTGGTGGAGGAGGAGGGCGCCAGGTTGAAGAGGAGGAGAGGGAGAAGGACCAGTGCATGCCCAAGACTAAACAACGATTTCAGAATACTCCCTCCCTCCAAGCTTCGTCTTCATAGGCCCGTACACAGATCTTGTCCACTGAAGGAAGTGCCCCATTGGGAGGCGACCGTTTGAAGAATTTGAAGCATGCCGAAAAGTATTATCAAGGCGTCAACGCCACGAATCAACCTGATTGTTGCGTCTTGTCGATCGTGAGTCTTGTCAGACAACCGCTGCTGGGACACCGGCACCGCCACTCAATGTAAGTGTTGCGCTTTGACAATCCTGAGTCAGTCAGTCAAAGCCGCGTGTCAGAGCGCACATGAGCAATATGGAGCGATTACCGCGCCATGCAACATGAACGCATTGCGCGCCTCCAGTCTTAGTCTGGGATTGCGCATACATCGCCGATTGTAACGCGCAGACTGCCACATACATCCTTTGCAAGTTCCAAAACACAACTTCCCGTACGATAACCATGGAATTTCCCATACATTCCTGCACTTGTTTCCACGGCTGTGCGCGGCGCTCTGGCCAAAGCCATCGTTTGTAAAAGAACCGCCCTCGCTTTTGAAACACGAATGCGTGCGGCGCCGAGAGCCAAATTTTGAAGACGATCCGCCTTCAATCCGCAAACTTCTTGCACATGTTCAAGACGAATGAGCGCGGCGCTCAGGCCAGAGCCACGTTTTGGAAACCACTCGCCCTCAATCCATCGAGCCCGTATGTTGAAGACGAGTATGCGCGGCGCTACGGCGAGAGCCACATTTTGAAAACCACCCGCCGTGGATGTGAAACTGTTGTACATTCAGATCATGCGTTGTACGGAAGTCTCATGCGAAACGCCCAGCCCCGCCCTTCCGACCGGCCTCGGGGTGCGACAGGGAGGAGTTGTTTAGAACGAAAAGAAATGGCAGGGGGAGGAGGATTCGAAGAAGGACGAGGGACTAGGACTGTTGCCTGCCCCTCAAAAGGCAGGTTTAGGGGATCAGATGAGAATGAGGGGGAGGCGGGGACCAACGCCGAAGTCGACACGACACGACCCTGCCGTACCAGTGGGACGCCACGCCACCATTGGGGGCCCGTCAGCGTGTAACTCGCTCGCATTTGGCCGAAGGCATGGCGTCTCCCACGGCGGCGTGTCATTGGCATGGATTCTGCTCCGCCAGGCCGCCGATTCCGCAGACGTCCGACGCCCAGGACAAAAATTGGAGGTGGACGCGTCTCGCAGTTTTCTGCCTCTGGAGGCCACCTGGGGGGAAAAGCCGACCCCGGGGAAGGGTCGCAACTTCACCAAGTCTGGCTTGAACCAATCACGACGTCAGATGTCTGGGGCCAGATATCTCCAAAGTTTCCAGGAGGTCGCCAGCATGCACGCGAACGCCCGCACAGGCCTCGGGAGGCTTTCCGAGACCCACAGAGGGACGGAGGCCAACAAACCTTGCGTCTTCGGTCCTCACGAGGAGGAGGAGGACAATATACCCTCCCTCCACGTCCCTCTTCGTAGCTTCCGACAGGGAATTGTTTCAGTGCTGGAAGTTCCATGTTGGCATTCGTTTGAGAATCCCCCAAGTGGCCAAAACTCCGTGGACATCAGCGCCGCGATTCAACTTTACTGCTGTGTCCAAACGATCCTGCATCGCGCCAGAATGCTATTCCGTTGATTTTCTCACCGCGAATCAGCGTGATAATTGCGCCCAGACAATCCTATTCCGTGCCAGACCACTTTTCCTGGGATGTCGACCATAGCATTCCCTTGAATTGTTGTAAACGAATCGCCTTCGGCCCATCTTCGTGGGTATGAAGCCTATTGGATGTTCGTTGGGATCTCGTTGGAGGCTTCCCTGGGGGCCTCATGGAGGCAGTTTGGACGCGTCTTGGAGACCGGTTGGGGAGCCCCGAGGGGCATCTGTTGGGCCTCTTGGGCCTCCTGGGGGCCTTGTGGCAGCCTCTAACGGCCTCCTGGGCGCCGTCTTGTGCCGTTTTGGGGGCCTCTCGGGCTGTCTTGGGGCCTCTTGGAGGCCTCTTGGGCCGTCTTTGGGCGGTGTTGGGACCTCTAAGGCCGTCTGGGAGCGTCGGGAAGCCGAACAGGCGAGAACGCCGAAATCCGTGAAACATCGGAGGAACATGAATGATTCTGGCCTCTGTGGGCCCTCTTGGAGGCCTCTTTGGGCGTCTTGGAGGCCTCTTGGGCCATGTGGGGCCATCTGGGGCGGTTTGAGGCGATCGTTCGGCGACTCGAGGCCGTCTTGGGCAGTTTTGGAGGCCTCTTGGGGGCCATCTTCGCCCGTCTTGGGGCCTTCTTGGGCCCGAAACGGTCATGCGACAAGACGCGACGAGCTCCAGGGGTCAAAGCCCCTGAGCACGGGGTCCGGGCCCCGCGCATCTTTTTCAGGAGTGGGGACTGGGGCTTAAGGGATTGGGCAAAGGACCTGAGGACACGCCCACTCCGTGCCCAGCGACACGGTGGCGGATTAAGACCAAAGTGTGCGGCGCTCGGGCGAGAGCCACACTTTGAGCAAGGGCCGCCCTCCACCCGTGAAACCCTTGCACACTCTTACGACGAATGTCACTGCTCTAAGGCGAGGGCCACATCTTGAAAACCTCCCGCCCTCCTCCCGTCACACCAATGCGAACTTTGAAAATTAATGCGCGCAGCTCTGAGGCGCTAGGCACAGTGTGAAAGCCGCTCGCGCTCCACCCGTGGAGTTCTTGCAGACTTCCAAGACGAAAGCGTGCGGCGCCATTGCGAGAGCCTTTTTTGGGGGGAAAGGAGCTGCCCGCCGGCCGTGAAGCTCTTCCCGCATTCAAGAAAGATGTGTGTTGTGCGACAGCGGGAGTCACACGTTGAAAAGCCATCCGCCTTCCTTCCGTGGAGCTCCTGCACGGCCTATGACGCGAATGTGCGCGGCGCTAAACGAGAGCTACAATTTGAACAGCCACCGCCCTCCATCCGTGGAACTATTGCAAACTTCTCAGACGAATGTGTTCGGCGCTGAGCGCGAGCCACATATTAAGAAGGAACCGCCCTCAATCCGTGGAACTCTTGCATTTTGTTGCAACGATTGCGCGCCGCCTTAAGGCGAGAGCCACATTTTGAAAATGAGCCGCCCTTCATTCGTGAAACTCTCGCAAACTTCTGGCTTCATGGTCATACGTGGTGAGAAAGTCTGAAGCGAAACGCCCGCCAGCCCTACCGACACGTCTCGGATTGGGACAGGGGGGGAGTTATTCAATCGCTTCGCTCATTCCGCTGGTCCCTATTGCATGATCGCTGGTGGTTCGCCGCGGGCTGAGGAGGAGAAAGAGGAGGATGATAGGGCAGGGGAGGGGGAGGAGGAGGAGATGATGAGACGAGGAGGGGGGGGAGGATGAAGAGACGTCGGAGGAGGAGGAGGAGGGGGAGGAAGCCTCTTGATGGCATCTTGCAGCACCCTTGGGGCCAAACAGGGTCGTCGTCACTATGCTTCTTTGGGATGCCTCTTGGGGTCTCTTGAGGGGCCTCTCGGGGGCGCCTGGGATGCATTCTTGATTGCTCCTGGGGCATCCTGGGGGCCTCTCGGGGGCTTCTTCAGACCTCTTGGAACCGCTTGGGAGCCTCCTGGAGCCTCTGGGAGCTTTTTGGGAACCTCGTGTGGCCTCTCGGGGGCTGCTTTGGGGCCTCTTGGGACCCCTTCGGGGCTTCTTGAGGGCCTCTTGGCGCTTCTTGGGGCATCTTAGGGGCCTCTTGGGCCATCTCGGGGCCCTCTTGGGAGCCTCATGGGCCGTCTTGGGGTGATGTTTGGTGCCTCTCTGGCTGTCTCGGACGCAAAAGTAGTGGTGTGCTGAACATTTGCGTGTTCCCCAGGAAATTGAATCCTTGTTGCTGCTCGAGGCTATCCTGAGAGGCCTCATGGGGACCTTTCGCGCCGTCTTGAGGCTATCTTGAGCCCTCTTGGAGCGCTCTTGGACAGTCTTCGGGTCGTCTTGGAGGCTTCTTAGGCCGTCTTAGGTGCATCTTACGCCGTCGTGGTGGCTTGTTGAGTCGTCTTGAGGCCTCTCGGGGCGCTCTGGGAGGCCTCGAGGGCGGCGCCGAGGAGCAAAACCATCTCTGAGTAGAGTTTCCAGGGGACTTGCCGGGGATCTCCTGGCGTACTGATCGTGCGGGGACCCCAGGGGCGGCCCCACGCGCGAGAACTAGAAATAAATATTCTAAGCCCGTCACCGGAGATCTTAGCACGCCTCTGGCCCGTGGGTTTGGTGAAATTTCAAGGAAAGGGATGGAGGAGGAGGATATGGAGAACGAAGGAGGGAGGTAGGCGAAAGGGGGGAGGAGAAAGGAGGGAGGAGATGTCGCGCCGGTTCTCGGAAGGTTCTCGGAAGGACGCGGAGGCTCTCGGAGTTTCTGTCCCGGCTTGGTGTCCGTCCCTGTGGAGGAGGAGGAATGTGTATATAGGGCGTTCTAGAACGGGCCTCGCCTTTGAGGAAGTAGGTGGCATCTCTGTCTCGGCGTAAGCCGGCGGATGGCTGGCGGCCGAAAAAAGGGGTAGTTCCGTTGGCTGAAGCAAGCGTGAGTAGAAGATGCGCAGCGCAGAGATGACAGCACTTCTGGGTTCAGGGCTTCCCTACCCCGCCACATGGTAACGCTACCTCGCAGACGCCTCTCGGGTGAACAGGAGGGCGGGGGAAGGCAGGGGGATAGGATAGGCTCATTGATCGCCGATAGGGGCCCGACAGCGCACCCCTCCCATGACCGTGCGGATTCGGTAGTTATCGGTGCCCCACCGCCGATTGATCGGCGACGCGTCGCCGGTTCCAGGTCAATGTTCCCCCCCGAGCCAGTACAACCCCCATCGTTCCCCCTCGAGGTTGGGGAGGGGACGGGCGCAGCTGTCGCATTCGGGATGGCTTCACGTCGGGTTGGTAAGTGCCTGTCCATCTGTTTCACTACCTATCTGGATTGCATTCTGAAGGCGGAGGCGGAGGCGGAGGCGGAGGAGGAGGCGGAGGAGGAGGCGGAGGCGGAGGCGGAGGAGGAGGGGGAGGAGGAGGCGGAGAAGGAGGACGAGGAGGAGAAGGAGGAGGAGGATCAGGAGGAGGATCAGGAGGAGGAGGAAAAGGAGGAAGTGTAGGAAGAGGAGGAAGAGGAGGCGGAGATGGAGGTGGAGGCGGAGGCGGAGGCGGAGGCGGAGGCGGAGGCGGACGAGGAAGAGGAAGAGGAAAAGGAGGAGGAGGCGGAGGAGGATCAGGAGGAGGAGGAGGAGGTGGAGGAGGAGGAGGAGGAGGCCATCCCAGAATTCCAAGGTTACACCTTTTTGTTGCGACGTGCTTCCCGAGCAGATTTCTAACTAGGGGTAGTTCTTCGATTGTCCCAGGGCCTGGAAGGTGCCCGCAGAGCTCGCAATCGAGAGCAAAAACAGCGCTTGCGATGTTCCCATGGCGCCCGACGCCTGGGCTCCCTCTGCTTCTGCCCCTTCTCCTCCCCCGACGAAGAGGGGGTGGCAGGCCCTTTCAAGATGAAGAGGGTCGTCCGGATTCACAGGGACAAGGTGCAGTGCGTGGCCTTGAGCGGGTGCCTCTGCTGCGCCCCTCGTCGTCGATTGAGGATCGAGGTTCGAGACGTTTCAACTTCGCTGGGCCACGTCGTCACCACGGCCACATGCGCCTCGAAATTCTGGTCGGAGACTGCACCCCAGGGCAGGTCTGGGGGGTGAGGTTTTTAAGTGAAGCGTCGTGGTCGTCACGGGGTGGGAAAGGGCGGCGGCGAGGAATTGAGTAGATGGAGGAGGGAGAGGAGGGAGGGATCATGTCGGTGGCGGTGGTAACAGCGGTAGTGGAAGTCGCTGCGGTCGTGAGGGCCAATTGATTTGATCATGGTGTTTGCATTGTCGGGGGTGGTGGAGGTTGTGGTGGTGGTAGGGATCGGGTAATTGCGTTGGCTTGGTGACGTAATGAGTGATGGTATTGGTAGTGTTGGTAGTGTTGGTAGTGGTGGTAGTGGTGGTAGTGGTTGGGGGATCGAGAGTGGCTGTAGCAATATTGGGTGGTATTGTTAGTTGACGGGCATTTCTGATTGTCGTGGTTATCGATCTGTCCTCCCGAAAGAAGGGCGCCGTTGTGGTCCTCTATGTCTATAGTGGGTTTGAGATTCCTTGGCTCTTCGTCCCCATCTGCGTCGTCCTTGTCTGTCGTCCATTTGCTCCTGTGCCTTCGTGCGCTTCTGCCAGTGGCCACAGACAGGATCTATTGGACTGCGCTGTCTTTGCATTCGCGCTTCAACCGCACCTTGTGGCCGATCCGGTTCTCAATTCGGATCTCCGCGCTGGGCAGAGTGGCCAGTGGATTGGCAGTTCGGCGGTGGCGCCTCGTCCTTCCTCCCCTTCCCCCTGGTGCCTTGGGGCTTCATTCCGTCGAGCTACTGCTTGCCATGATGCTGGAGTGCGCCATTTTCTTCCCGCCGAGCTGCAGCACCCGTCGAAATCCCAACAGCTGGATGTCGCAGACGCCGTGTTGCACAACGCCATGCTGCACAGAGTCGTTCAGATGGTGCCCGTTGGACTACTCAGCGTCACGCTTCCGGCACTCTCGTGCTGCCCACCGATTGGTGTCTGGATCGTATTGTTGTATACATAAAACGGCGCACCGGGTCCGGGGGCCCGGGGCCGGGACCTCGACCACAAATGTGGGCCCCGGGGGGCCCGGAGGCTCGTCGGACCGCCGGACGCCGTCCAAGATCGTTCGCAGGCGGCTTGGGAACGCGCTCCGATGGCTCCAGATGCCTTCCAAGACGCCTGTCATGACACCAAGAAGGTCCCAGAAGCCTCCAAGACGCTCCGAGAGGCAGCCCAAGAGAGGCCCAAGAAACAAAAATCGTGCCATTCCTATGGGAAAACGTATATTTTTCGCATGTTCGCCTCTTGGGCTTTCACCGCGTCCAAGACGGCCCAAGAGGCGCCCAAGACCGCCCCAAGACGGCCCAAGAAGCTTCCAAGAGGGCCCCAGGACAGCCCAAGAGGGCCCCAAGACGGCCCAAGAGGCGCCCAAGATGGCCCAAGAGGGCCCCAAGACGGGCCCAAGAGGGGGCCCAGAGGGGGACCACGAACCGCAAGCTCGAGCCTTCCGCCCCAAGAGGCCGCCAGGAGGCCCCAAGGAGGCCCCTCAAGAGGCCCCAGGAGACCCCCAAGAGGCCCAAAGGAGGCCCCGAGAAGCCCCAAATCGGCCCCCAAAATGCTTCGAACCTGCTTCCAGGAGGCCCCCGACAGGTTCAGAGGCTCCCGAGAAGCTACGTCAAACTCCCAGCGAGCGGCCGGACGAGGCCCCCCACAAAATCACAAGAGGGTTCCAGTATTTGTATCCTTCAGCGCTCTCTGGCCTTCTTCCCCCTGCCCCCTTCCCTGCGACTTTCGTTGACTCAAGCTCGCCTCCTAGCTAGAACCTAAGCGCGCGCGAAGCGCGCGCGTGGTTCTAGTCATATATCAAGCTGCGCAGCGTCGTGATGTTTGTAACTGGATCCCCGTGTCACAATGACAGATTTATATTGCGCGACGCAGAAAACCCAACCTGACATGGTAAGCTCGTGGCCACAAACCGGAGGACCCTGCAAGTTCATGCTGTCATTGTCGCACCGCGTGGTGCTGTTGATACCCCAGTGTTTCGATGTCGATTTGATATTAAGGTGTATACCACCAGCATAGTGCTGTACTCCGTCGAGCTGCTGCCTGCGTCGGTGTTGCTCAACGTCGTGTTTCACCGCATCGAGCTGCGGGCGCCTGGTATACGTTAAGTTGCCAACTATTGTGATGTCGGAGACTCGGTGATGTACCCCGTCGTGCTGTCCTATGGCGTGCCGCTGGGAGTTTTAGAGACGACAGGCGGCATACGGCTTGAGCACAATGCAGCGCGCATTGCTGGATATCAGAAGTGTGCTGCTGCCACACATCGCGCTCCTCCTCCAGCGGGAACGGCTTCGACTCGCCTTCAAGTCCACCGTATCGATACACTTTGTCAATGTTTGCACGTGGTTGTCTTGGGCAAGCCAGCTTCCATCGCCGTTCGTTTGCTCAGGTTTCTCGGTGATGCAACGCGCCGCCCAGTTCGCGTTCCAAGAGCTCGCCTGCGGCATATACGCCGGCATCGCGCTCTGGGGCGGCAGGCCTTCTTCGTGTCCGTCTTGCAACCCACAGCTGCACTGCTGGGCACCCGCGCCGCTGGTGAGTTCGTGCGTCGGAGCCTCCTGGTGGACCATTGGGGCCTCGGTGATGCTGTTCGCGGCTGTGCTGTTCGTCGCCTTCTTCGCCGGCGTGACGTGGAACCAGCGGCCTTTCGTGGAGCAGGCCTGTCCGGCGGCGCAGACCGAGCTCGTCCAGGCGGCGCGCCGCCAGACCTTGTACATTCGCCGTCGTGACCCTCGGTCTCTGGAGTGAGGGCGTCTGCCAGGCCTGTGGCGGGACAGTTTGTTCTGGCAGGGTATGATGTGATAGGACCGCCGATCGTCCTGCATCAACGTCTGGTGATGACCATCGACCCCAGGCCGCCGATGCGATTGTTTGGCATGTCTCCCGACGGCGATTATTTTGTGGAGGATACTCGGCCTAGCGGGAGGATTCGGGCGTTCTATGTGTTTGACATTGCGAGTGGCGTGCCCGACGGTGTCGACCCAGCCACAGTCCACGACGTCGCGGACGAGCCCCAGCAGCTCTCCGTGGACGGCCTCGCTCAGATCGTGGCTTCGGAGGTGGAGATCGGAACGCCATCGCTGCCGTTCATGATCAGGTAGGTGGGGGACGAGGAGCTCGGCAACGGACAGGATACTTTCGAGCCGGGGCTAGCGGCAACGGCTGAGGCAGGAGATGGCGCAGCGCCTGGCACCCCATCAATCTCCGAGCCGCCTGGTTCCGCCAGCGTGGTTCTGCGCGCCGCGCCCGCGCCCGCCGCCCCTGGCGCAGGGGAGGGAGCCGCCAGCCTTGAGTGCCTTGGCCCCAGGTGCAGGGCCTCGTGGCGTGGGCCTGGCTAGGCTCCCTCGCCGGCTGGCCGCGGTGCCTTGCGGCCAGCCCGTCCCCGTCGCAGGCGGGGGGGCGCCCTCCCAGCGGCTGAGCGCCGCCGCCAGCTGCTGCCTCGTCGCTGCAGAGGTATGCGCTCCATGTGAGGCGCGGTTACCAGGAGGGCAACTTGGTGGCGCGCTCGCTGCCTGTGAGATCGTTCATCCTTGGCGACCGCGCGGTAATCCATGTTGGCGGGCAGTCCGTGGCCCGCGTGGAAGATGACCGAGGTCGACGCTGCAGCGCTGGCCGAAGGCGACATGCGCGCGCCCCAGGTCGTCTTCGATCCACAGGGCGAGAGGCGGTGGACGATCACGGATGTGGCGGCTCTGTCCAGGGAGAAGACGGCGCCCGGCGGTTTGGGCCGCGCGTTCTGACGTGGTCGTTGAGATTCGTCAGGGGCAACGGTGGATCACTATTCGCCGCCGATGAGATATGGGCCCGCGTGACTAGGGTGGCAGCAGGAGATCGAAGCATGTATGAACGCGAGGTGATATCTCGAGTGCTGGACGCTGCAGCAGGTCAGGATCACTTGAATCCCATCTCGCTTGATCCCTCCGAATTGCCGCCAAGGCGCATGGCGCCCATCGAGGAAGAACTCCGTTTCAGACCTGCGCGGCCCGATGACAGCATGGCCGAGTTACTTCATGGGCTGGGGCCCCCGCTCCAGCGGCGCGGCGATTTCGACGCAGTTCGCGGCCCAGGTGGCGGCCGAGGCGCGGTTGGAGTCGGCGACCGCGAAGGAGGCTTGGACGTCGCGCAAGGAGCGCCGGCGCCATCCACGCGGCAAGCCGCCCAAAGGTGGTGGCCGAGGTGGCGGGGGCCACAGGGCCCGCTGTGGTTCTGACCCCGCAGGGGGCAAGTGAAGAGGAACGGGCCCCGGGGCACTCGCCCAGACCCGCCGGGCCCCCTTGCGAGGATGCCCACTTTCGCCCCGGTCGCCGCGGAGTTGGTGCCGAGAGCTGCGCCGCGCGACTTTCTCCTTCTCCCGCAGCTGGACTAGCGTCTCGGCATTTGCCCAGTCTTGCCCCGTCCATCTTAGCAAAAGCTGAAATCTCGTCGCGCGATGATGCGATGATTGACTGATGCGATAACTGGCGGCCTCAACTGGCTGCGCGGCGGCGAGGCGTGCTACGCCAGGCCCGACGTTCGATCCAGCGTCGCGCGGACGTCGGCGCGGCGCTAGGTTCATGCGAAGACTGGTGCCGATGATGGTCGTCCGCCAGTGGTTTCCCACGAATCCGCGCGCGTGCCTCTCCGCCCCTACCTCGGGCGCGATGGCGCCGCGGCGACGGCGGCGGCGGCGGTGGGGCCCTAGTGTTGTTTCGCCAAGAGCGCGCACTCCGGTCCCCAGAGCCTGCGGAGCGGCCCCCGATTGACCGCCCAGCTGCCCGACCCCCGGGGCGCAGCCTGCTCGGGCGGGCTTCGCAGCGCCATAATGCTTAGCGATGATGAATTCGGCGGAGCATGCGATGCCAACACGCCAGTCAAGCTCTGCACGGGCCCCGATCTGGAGCGCTCACTCACCGCGCGCGCGGGCCCCGCTGCTCAAAGTCGGCCAGTTACTTGCTGACTTGGACGCCTCGCCCCGAATGTTGGGCCACCCCGTTCTTCGGGAAAAAAAGGGCGCCGCCATGAGACTTGCCTGCGACTGTCGCGGGGCCATTGCCCGGCCCAGGCCTCCTCGCCCCGCGGGCTTGACCAGTAGGGCCCGCTGGGCGGGCGTCGTCGCGCTGGCAGACTCCGAGATGCACGTCGCCCAGGCAGACATCTCCCACTATTATTACCTCGGCATCGCGCGCGGGCTGTCCTAATTTTCGCGTCATGTTTTCTATCGGCGCGGCGCGGGTCGGACGACGCCACGGTAGTTGTCGCTCGCCGGCGCGGCTGCTCGATCATCATCGGGTCGCTCCGATCCTCCAGGTGTCCCCGATGGGCTGGCGCTGGGCGACGTGGCTCGCGCGGCAGGTGCTCTTGCCTGGAAGTTTTGGAGTCTAGCGTGATTTTCGCGGACAGGGCGTTTACCTACGACCCACCGATCGCAGAACTCGGTCAGGCCTGGGATCGCAGGTGCTTTGCGCGGACACAATCAGCGCGATGGCCCCCCATGCCGACGCCGCCGGGGACGCCGCGCATCGGCTGCGGGCTCACCTCGAGGCCGCGGGGTTCGAATATCGCGAGCTCGTCGGCCCTGCCGCGAGAGCGACCTCGCATGGTTACTGCATCGATGGCCAGAAGCACTTTGCCACCCCTGTCGCCCGCGACGCGCAGCTGCTCGCGGCCGCTGGGCGGCGGTCGCAGTCGCGCCCCAGGCTGGAGGGCGAGATTGGGAGAGACACGTCGGGCACCGTGCCCATCGAAGACAGTTTCTCTCCATCTCCCTGCGCCTACCCCCCCGCCCGACATCGCCAGTCGCGTCGTGGCTGGCTGCGGGGGGGCGTGGCGAGGGAGGCGCAGGCCTTTGCAGCATTGCTTCCGCTTCGCCAGGGTCGCCCCGACAAGCCGTGCATCGAGGAAGTTACGCGCTGGGATGCGCGCCTCTCGGGCCGCGCCATCTGTTCGCGGGAGACCCCGGATAAGCGCGTCACCCTAGTGCGATGTCTCGAAGAAAATCCCAGGTGCGATGCCGAGGCCCCCGCTGCGCAGGCCCGAGAAAGGATGTCGAGGTCCCCGACGCTTTTTCCGACGTAGACGCGGTCGCCCTCCCTGGCGTCGACCACGCGGAGGAGGGAGACAATAACATCGAGAGGTTTCAGGGGTCCCCCAAGGCCTGGCTAGATCCGAAGCGCCGGCAGCTGCGTTCGGCCGTAACTCAGCCCAGCAAGGAGGAACACATCGTGGTTGCCGGGAAGAGGACATGTTTCTGCTGTGCGACACAAGCTGCATTCAGTACACCGCATAGCTGGACGTCACCAGAATGTAGGAGAGCGCCTGTCGCTCGTTTTGGCACGTGAGAAAAGGTGTTCCACGTCCTTCGGGGTTCCTTGATGTACTTGCGCGTTCTTTGCTGTGTCCGTTGCCCGCGGTGTCGCGTTCGCGCGCCGGAAGCATTCCTCGGCGCTAAAAGCCGCGGCGTGCGAGCCAAGGCTCTGGGGGGGCGACGCCGCCCCGCTGGCGCAGGCAGGCAGCGCTGCGTTCATGGGCGGGGCGGGCGTCCGAGACCGCGGCATGGCTCCCGACCGGGCCTGCCCGGGCGGGGTTCGAGACGGCCGCGCGCCGCGGCTCTCGGGCGCCCGCTTCTTCGCGGCATCCTCGGGCAAGGTGGCCCCGAGGAAGCGCCGCCTGGGCTCGCTCTGCCTGCCCCGCTTGCCCCCGACAAGCGACGCGCGATGCTTCGCCCCTCTCGCTGAAGGACGCGGACGCCCCGATGGCGGGCGCGGTCGAGGACGGGTTCTTCGCTGGAAGCGTTCGCGTCGAGGCACGGGCGGCCTGCGCCGTTCTCTCGGCGCCGTCGCCTCAGTCGATGAACGGGGCCCAGAGACCGCTTGCGATGCTGATGCGCAACCTGATTGCCGAGGTGATTAATGCGCGCGCGATCTTCTCGGCGCCTCTCAGCCCCTGCGAAGCGTGGCGCCGACGCACCGAGGGCATTGCAGCGGCGCGTCCTCCGGTCGCGTGGGCCGCTGCTTTCTATCTGCGCCCCGAGGAGAGAGAGGGGAGCGGCGCCCGCGGCGATCGCCGCAGATGCAAGCAACATGATGGACCGCGCGCAACACGGCTTCGCAAGTCTCGTGCCCGCGCATTTTCTAGAAGCCCGCAGGCCGGGCCGCGCGATGAGGCGCAGCGCCCGCCAGTGCAAGGCCGCTTTTTCTGGAGCGCGGGAACTAGATCGCTCCGGGAAAAGCGCGTGCCGCGCCAGCTCCGGCATGGTTGTCAGGTGCCCCCAGCGTTGAGAAGGTTCTGCCTGTCCGCGATCGCCGCGCGGCGGGTCGATCTGGGAACATTTCGGAGCCGGTGCCTATTTTCTTGCGATCTCAAAGCATTTCTCACAGGCGGATGCCAGACGCGGGCGCTGCTTGCACCCAGTCGACAGCAAGAACTCGCCCGATCAGAACGCTTCACACTCCAATGTCTACCGGGCTCTACAGCGTCTCGCCTCGCACTGCGACTGCGCTCTCATCTGGATGGGCATCCCGCGTGTTTCATGGTCTCGGGCAAAGGGGGGCGGCGGATCTCTGGCCCGCCCTCTCTCCGAGGAATCATTCGACGAGCTTTATAGACTGGAGAGGCATGAACGCAAGGATGCTCAGAAGGGCTTGTTCGGAAGGCAACTCGAGGGCTTCGGCCCGCCTCGCTCAGTTCGGCGCCGCGCGTCGCGTGCAGCGCGTCGTTGGAAATCGGTTAGTTCCAGACTTTGGCTGTGACTGACGCCTGCCATGTGACCTGCCCAGTGTTTGCACATGGTTGGTTGGGGCAGGCTGGCTTCCATCGCCGTCCGTTAGCGCAAGTTTCTCTGCGATCCCCTCCCGCACACCGAATTATCACACAGCCACTGGGTTTTTACATTCAGCACCGCTGATCTGAATAATCTCGCTCGTCGGCCGACTCCTGTTTCACAGTGCCGTGCTAGCGGGCACTAAATAGACATAGTTGCTTCAGGCACATGTGATGGCTCTTCTGCACCCTTTTTGCAATGGGTTTTTTTTCGGGGTGTGTTGGTTCGTGGAACCTTCCAGCTATGAGCGATTGGCATCCCTTGGATTTCCTGCTCCCTTTCTGCCTACCTGCCATTTCCTCTTTATGTTTGCTCCCTTCGTGCACTTACATGTGCCCCATATATGTACGGGAATCGCCGACATGGCATGATCTACGCACGAGCGTTGTACTGTTGGTGGTTCATGTTCAAGTGAGCCTCACTTTTTGTCCGGGATTGCTGGGTCTTCGTGGGATCGCGTGAAGTTGGAATGATGTTGTGCGGGTAGCGGATCTACGCAGGCCAACCACGTCCATTCTCTCCGTCTCACGTACGTTTTTCCGCCTGCGGCTGTTGCCATCGTGACGGGGCTTGGTCCGTGAAGTCAGGTTGCTCCGTTGCGTTGCGGTTGAAACAGAAGTTCAATCTTCCTCTGCTAAATTCACCTCCTCTTGTGCCTCGTTTCAATCACTCTGCGAAAACAGCCTGACCACCCAAAACCCCCATTAAGCTTTCCAAGCAAGCTTGCGTCACTCCACATCGTCTACTTCACCCTGTTCTTCCTTATTCGTCGTTCCCCTTCATCACTTTTCCTTGTCTGCTTCCCCTCCTAGAAACAAAACAGCCCCCCGTGCGGGAGGAGCCAGTTCGCCACTGCTTCCTGGGATTGCACGGTCAAGATCTACAGCTTGCAGGCGGACAAGGCAATACCCTTGACGGCAGTCTCGGCGACGACGAGGGAGGAGGATGGCGACGACAATGATGGTGGACATGGAGAAGGTAGGATCAACAAGGCGGGGTATCATCAAGGAAAAGAGATTGAGGAAGAGGGGTGGAGGATGATAGGTGATGGGTGGCGCGGGGACGGTCGCAACCGATTGCGGCAACAAGAGATGTAAAAGATGAGTTGGAGGGAGAAGAGAGCGACCACGAGTGAGGAGAGAGGATGGCGAAAGCAGTGAGGAGGTATGGAGAGGGAGGAGGAGTGGGGAGGTGGAGGATTGGGGAAGGATTTGCAGGTGCACCGTTCCAGGTTGATCTCGCAAGGCTACAGAACTTGCAGGGGCACGGGCCTCCTGTTTTTCGTCGTCGTCCTGCTTTTCGACCAGGAGGAGGGAAAGGGAATGCCAGGAGGAGGGGGAGAATGGAGAGGGCAAGGGAGGGAAGCAGGGAGGATGAGGAGGAGGTTTTGAGAAATCCTCGGATGCCGTTGGCGGCGTCTGGAAGGTCTTGCGGTCTCCAGGGGGGCGAAGTTCCACAGGGGGTTGCAGTCGGCGTCCGTAGTGTCTGTAGTTTCGTCGCGGGTGGCCCTGCTCTCTTGCCCCCCTGCTCTGACCCGGCTGGTTGCGGTCTCTCCTTTCTCCCTCTGCTTGTTTTTTGGTCCTTCCCCATCTCCTCTCCTGCTCCCCTTTTCCTCGTCCTCCCTTCTTAGTTCCTCCACTGCTCATCTCCTCCCCCGTCCTCGTTTCCCGTCCCTCCTCATCTCCTCATCTCCTCCCTCCTCATCTTCTCCCCGCTTGATGTCTCCTCAGTTGTCCCTTCCCGCCTGTCCGCCCGCCTGCCTCGTCCCGCCAGCCTTGGCCTCCCGCCTGCGCGGTTGCCGTGGTCTGCTTGCTTCTGCACGACCGTTCGTGCTGGGCATCGCGTGCTGCCACCAGCCGTTCCTACGACATGGGCGATTGCTTCAACGCTGTGCAAGCCAATGAAACAATGAAACTGATCCAGCCATACTCAGGACAAATGTTTTGGCAGTTTGTATCACCAATATGAAAATGCTCCGAATCTTGCGTTCTAGCGTGAAAGAGTTGTGTTGGGACTGGAGCGCGTGAGGTTGATTTCGTGCAAAGGCAGTTGTTGTGCAGACGCGATCGGGCTTGTGCGTTTAGGGGAGACACTGGTTTGGGTTGCGGTAGGGTACCGCGCGGCCGCGTCGGCCACGCAGTTCAGGTCTAGGGTCAGGTGTTGGTTGGTGTAGGTTTAGGTGTGGCTTTAGGTTAGGGTAGATGTTAGGTCTAAGCGCACGTCGGTTTTGCGGCCGCCGCCTTTTCCACAGCGAGGCGGAGGGCGCGCATTTGGGCGCGCGCGCGGTCAAAGCGCGCTTGACCTCTGCGTCGCGCGAGCAGCGGCCTCGCTCCGCATGGCCGCGCGACGACGCGCTGTCCCCGACGCGAACGCGACGCCACTGTTTGATTGAATGGTATTGCGGGGCGGCTGACGCATTCACGCCGCGCGCCCCGCCGCATTCGCTGGATTATCATGGCGCCCCCGTGCCGCCGCGCGCGTCCGCCAACGAACATCTTGCTATTCGTGCAGATGGATCCAAACAGATGTATGAGTAGCCCAGTGCAAAATACGCCAAACGCCAAGTAAAGAACAGCTTGACAAGCTTGCGAAACTGCTGCGATGGAGTTGGGGGTCGTTTGCCGATCTAGTGCGCGGCGTAATAATCGCGCGCGTTGAGGGTTCCATCAACCTCGCTTGCTGCTAACAGTTAGCGCAGGCGCGGTGGAACGGTTGCAATATTTTCAGCGCCATGCGCGCGGTCTCGTTCTGACCTTAAGCCTCGTTTTCGCATTCCCCAAAACTGTTCAATAATGTTTCATGTTTGGTTGGAATCGGTCATGTTGATGCGGCCGCAGGTATTATTGGATTATGTTAAAAGTATGTTCATGGTTCCATTGGTTTGCACACCGCGCGGCCCATCACCCATGTAACGCTGAGAAGTCCTGCCAGAGTTGAAGAGGCGCCTCTTTGAGCGCTTTAAGTTCGGCAATGGGGAAGAGGGGGAGGCGGACTGTGCTGGCGCCGCGTGCGCCAGCAGATGGGAGCCAATACTATCGTGGACCAAGGGGTATACGCGCGGGAGTAACTGTCGCCCATATCGTTGGATAAGACCCGTAGGACCCAGCCTGCGAGCCTCCTATGTACGCGTTTTCTTTGTTTCGAGATGTTCCGACACGATCGCGCCACAGCAATAACGAGAATTATTCCTCAGTGGTGAGAGATGGGGGCTCAGATGTGTGCCAGTGCGATCCGAGAACTTCCGTGGCGCGCGTACATCGGAGGTGGAACGCATGCGCCCAAACATTGTAGAACGTTGGCCATTTAGGCAACCGGGCAACCTTTCTATGCTTGCATTGACGTTCTCGTATGTGTTTGGAGGTTTGTGCGTATCCTACCCGATCGATCACGGCGAGATTAGACGCGCGCGTCGCGGCGACGATGGATAGGACGACGAAGGAAGCGCGCAGGGGAATGTGGAGGGGGATGGAAAGGAGGGTTTACCCATTCAGAGACCTTCGCCCCGATACCGATGGGCACAGCTATCGACCCCATCTCCGAGGCAAGTTTTCGCCGTGTGTATATTTCGCTGCTGTCCCCAGAGAACGACGGCGGCTTCCCTGGTACGGAAAAGTGGCAGATAAACATTCGTATTGCTTTTTCCATACTGGAACTTTCGGTTTTTCCCCCCCTCCGCCCCTGACCTGCAATGGCCCTCCGGACCCATACAGGTATGGCTGGGTTGGCCCTCCAGGACGGCCAGGTCTCAGGTTGCCCTAGGGTCTGGGGGCTCCGAGCTGCCAGAGAGGCGCAATAGAACAGAACCCGAGTTTTCGACGCTATCTTTGGGCCAGTTGCCAGGTCGTGCAGAGCTTTGGGAAGCCGAAGTGCCGCTGGACCTCCAAGGACCACGCGGCCGCTCACGACACGAAGCACCACGGTGGGCACGGTTGGGGGCTGAGCCTGTTCGGATCGCACAAGGCTCCCGGCAGTTTCTTGTGGGGAGGGGGGGTCAAGAGGGTGGAGCGGATCAGGTCAGGCCAGGTGGCCATACGCCAGGGGGGGAGCGGGGGGGTCAACAAATTATTGCACGCATGTCCCCTTTGTGTGTAGTTGTGCACCCCTCGCCCTAGCCCGAGCGCCCATCCATTGGCTCCCACACCCACAGCTCGCATGCCCACAGCTCCTCTTTCTCATGGGCACGGCCCCTCTACCCCGCTGAACGCTAGACGACAAGACAGGTAGAATTTGAGCAGCTCGCGCGCGCGAAGTGCTCGCGATAGGTCTAGTAGATGGACGTCTGTGCATACACACATATTCCTGTATGTGGATGTACATGGGCATATATACGTATCTGGCATACAAGCACACAACGATACATGTATGTACACATATACAAGCATTCACCCTATATATATGTGTGTACACGTATATGTATACGCACTTGTATAATGTTGCACGGCAGGACATTAGGAATAATATTTCTCAGTTTCGGGCATTGCGATGGAGTCGCGATTTGGGATGTGCCCTCCCGAATTAGATATTGTTATGATCTAGCGCCGTTTCATGGGGCTCTCCTTCCATGAGTGATTTGCATTTGCCCCCACTTGCATGCTGCCACGTTCCCTTTCCTGGCGTGCGTCCTCGGACAACGAACGCTCCACGTGGTCACTTGGCGTGATGGGTACTTCGCGAATCACGTATGCATACATATACATATATACATGTATATATACATGTATTGATATGTATATGTATGTCTGTACAAACATAAATTTTGATATAAATGTGTTCATCGAGTTCGGGAAGGACAGTTGGGTCAAGACGCCCCCAGAGGCTGGCCTCTCTGTGTGACAGGGCACGCTCAACACGGCAGCAATCGCGCCCCCACGTCTGACGAGCCTCGCAGGAGGTTGTGCGCCGCCGCTCCGGGGTGGGCGCCCCGACGCGTGACGCGTCGCAGTTTCATTGCGGGATGTCGAGGGGGCCGGCTTGCATTGCTCAGAGGAGGGAAAGGTACCCAAACCTATACCTATCTCTCGTTTTTCTTTTTTTCGGCCCCCTGTGAGGCCCTCGTCGCCACCGCTGGATTCGCCTCGGAACCTTGGTCAGAACGCACCCCGGGAGAGGTGCTGGGAGTAGCGGTATTGGTGCTTTTTTGTTTCCCGAATTGCAGGAGATGTTGGCACGGTCTGGTCGGCTTGCCGTCGGCTGCCGCGTTCCCTGTTTCGCTCATCACTTTCAGTGGCATTTCCACACCCCCGCGCGCGGTGGCCGTGCCTCTTTCGAGTGTGCGTTCGTGTCACGCGAAAGCGAGCGAGTGATTGCAAGCGTGCCCACGATTGGCACATTTGCGCTTCTGCGTGCGAGACAGGTCTCACTTCTCGGACACGCTTCTTAAACCATCCGAGCTATATCACTAGCCGTCGTTCTCGGCACCAATGTCGTCCATGCAACATGGGCTTGTCAGCAACATGCCGTTCATAGCCTTGCGTTCGCTGTCCATGCGGGCGGCCTTGAAGGGGTTGGAATCCTAAGCGCGCACGCGTGCTGATATGCATATATATATATATATATAGATGTGTATCTGTAAGGGCTTCGCCCCATGCCGCCAGCCCCCTGTCTCGGATAATGGGAGATGCAAAAGGTAAATCGTGAGGTCTGGGCGCCGCCGTGAAGCAGTGTCGGGACTTGTTTGTTTTTCGACCCTGACCCTACGGATCTGCGTCACGGGTGCCGCCGAATTTCAGAAATATTCCAAATCTCATGTGTTTGTGAACCCTGACTTCGCCGATCTGCGTGAGGGGTGCCACCGAATTTCAGATATGTGGCAAATCCCTTGTGTGTTTGCACCTTGACCCCGCCGATCTGCGTGAGGGGTGCCACCGAATTTCAGATATGTGGCACATTCTTTGTGGTTGTGGGCCCTGACCCCGCCGATCTGCATGAGGGGTGCCACCGAATTTTACAAATGTGGCAAATCCCGTTTTGTTTTGGACCCTGACCCCGCCGATCTGCATGAGGTGTGTCAGTAAAGTTCAGAAATGTGGCAACTCCCTTGTGTTTTTGGACCCTGACCCTGCCGATCTGCGCTCGGGGTGCCACCGAATTTTAGAACCGTGGCAAATCCCTTGTGTGTTTGGACCCTGACCCCGCCGATCTGCGTGAGGGGGTCAATTCTTACCCACCCCAGCAATTCAGACAACACGCTTAGGGCGTTGTAAAAATGCCAGTGTTGGACCTCCCCCCCCTCGCGCGGTCCATCAACAAGGAACAGTAAGCAGCAAGAAGGAGAATTGTAACAAGGAGCAGTAAGCGGCAAGAAGCAGAACTGTAACAGTGGAAACTGGAAGCTGCAACTGGTACAGGAAACTGCGAAGCTTCGTCCTACAGCCTGGTGGCCCCACAAGGGGGCCCGCGGATTTACATACATACATACATACATATATGCATACATACATACATACATGGACACAGAGAGAGAGAGAGAGCGTGTATGGAGCGCATGGCAACCACACGATGGTGCTACACATGGGGGCGGGGGCTGCAGCAGCAAGGAAGCGGGCAGGGACGCTCTCCAAATGAATAATAGATATTCAGCGTGCAGCGTGGATCGGAAACATGAACCTTTTTAGGAAGGCCTCACGTTCTACAACACTGCCTCCGTGAGGAGAGATCCTCTGAGTCACGACCACAGCCTTGGTGACCAGAGCGACTTTCGTGTGGAAAACACTGATTTCCAGAACTAGCGCCCGTGCAGTGGCCGAGGGCTCGGCTCTCGCTACAGTATTTGCTGTGAAGCTCAGTCTTGTTCCGAATTCCGAGTTTGCCGTTCGTCCGACATGTCTAGCTACGCAGCCTCGTTTTGCACGCTCGCTCCAAGACGAAAGATGCGCGGCGGTGTTGTTGCCAAGATGTTGCAAATGCGTTGAGGAAGCTGGTCCATGACACGCAATTGAGTTGCCCACGCAATCGAAGCAATTGTAATCCGACGATGTTCTCATGTTTCCACGAGCATTCACCGTGCAGAATGTAAATATTGAGCCAAGGCATTGTTCAGAACATGTGGACACATCGCACGTAACTACATCGACCAAACGGTTCACGAACACGTTTTTGTCGACATAGTTGAGTTGTTGTTGGTTCATACTTGCGAGGCAACGATATTCACGCCGAGTCGCATAGGCACTGCAAGTGTGCAAACCCATCGGATTTTCAAAATAGTTGCCGTCCGATTTGGAAGCAACTCCGTTGAGCCAACCATCCAGGAGGGAGGAACAGGAGAAGAGGGAGCAATGACGAGTTGGAGGATTTGGAGTGGTTCCTTCTCTGGACTTCTCATTTGTCCCCGCTTCCTCATGCTGCTGCTGCTCCTCCTTCTCCTTCCTGTCCCTCCCTTCTTCCCCTCATCCCCTTCCCTCTTCCCTGAGGACCAGAATATCGTTCCAGGACCTTTGATCCTGAAACCCATTCGAAACTTTCAAGCAGTCCTGGCAGGTCTACACGGGTCCGGGGAGCCATCTCTTGGCACTCTTGAAGTTCAGGGCCCCTCCAGTTCAAGTCAAGGTTTTACTCAGGCCTGGCAGGTCTTCGTATGCATCCTCTGACCTGTTCTCATTATCCATAGCCCCAGAGGTCCCGACCATTCTTTCTCCCTGGCGCAGATCTGATTCCCGGAGCCCTTGTTGGTGGTCTAAGGGCACGACATCTGCCCCCCGTGCTCGAGATCAGGGGAAAAAATGCCCCGCCCGAAAGCGAAGCGTATCGTCGGAGACCCAGGACAGTCCTGGCGACCTATCCCTTGGCATTCAGGAGGCCTCTGGTCTCCCGCCCGCTTCCCCTGCCTGGTGCCCGGCTTGAAAGCGAAGCGTATCGTCGGAAACCCAGAACAGGTTTCTCCTAGATGGAGTCGGAGTAGATGGTGTCGGAGGATCGCGCCGCATCGCCGCTGCATCGCCGATGCAGCTCGATGAGGAGTCCGATTTGCTTAACGTCGACGTCGCCGATGCATCGCCCACGTCGACGATGCATCGCTGGCGCATCGCCGATGCATCACCGATGCATCGCCGATGCATCGCCGATGTATCAGCGATGCGGGGCGATTCCCCGACCCTATCTACTCCGACCCCATCTAGGAGGAGGACTTGGACGAGGAGGAGGAGGAGGAAAACATGGAGGAGGAAGAGGATGAGGAGGAGGAGGAGGAGGATTCCCCGACCCCATCTACTCCGACCCTCCCGCCGGCTTCCCCTGGAGCGGCATCGGACCTGCGCGCCAGCGGACGGCGCGAGGCCGACCACCACCACCACGGCCAGGAGAAGAAGGAGGAGCCGTCCATGCACGGCGACACGCCAGGGGGGTAGGAGGCGGAGGAGGCGGAGAAGGAGGAGGAGGAGGAGGAGGAGGAGGAGGAGGAGGAGGAGGGGAGGAGGAGGAGGAGGAGGAGGAGGAGGAGGAAAAGGAGGAGGAACAGGAGGAGGAGGGAGGGAGGGAGGGAGGGAGGGAGGAATGGATGGGACCAACGACAACCAACTCCTTTGGGCTCGCGAGTCAGGGCATCTGGGCGTTGCCGATTCTTTTGGGGCTCCCCGGGGCCTCTGAGGACCTCCGCAGGCCCGAGGGATCGCCGGAGGACCCCGCGGAGACTGCAGTCCTCCAGCGGACCTTCAGAGATGGGAGGTCTCAGACCACTAGCGCCGCGAAGCAGAGCAGTTGGCAAGTGCTTGGTGTGCCAATTTCGGTCTCCAGTTTTGCCTTGTCCGCCAAAAGACCTTGACAGCCCAGGGATCGTGGAAGAGTCTTGTTTCCCGACGTCCGACATGCGGGGACCGCGTGCTCGGGACCCCAGACGATCAGAACACGACCCGTGGAAGAGAAGAGATGGGCCGGGGTGGATTCGAGAGGTCTGAGGGCCTAATTGTGAACACGATCACCACGCCAGAGGTCTAGGGAGGAGGGAGGGCGGGAGCCGTCAAGCTGGGCGCACTCGAGTCACATCTGGCGTCCTAGGGGAACCTTTCCAATCCCTGCCTTCCCACTGCTTCGAGCCCTGTTATGTTCGCCGACTGAGGGGTCCTGGAGGACCATGATCCCCAAGTGGCAGGCAGATGCAGGATTCCAATCGAGAGCTGTGCAATCGGGACGGGGGTGGTGGAGGCGGATGAGCAGGAGGGGTAGGAGGAAGGATGAGGAAGTGGAGGAGATGAAGGAAGAGCGACAGGAGGAGTAGCAGCATGGACATCAAAGGAAGGCGGAGGATGGGAAAGGAGGGCGACAGCAACGACGAGGAGGGAATCAAATCCAGAAGTGTGGCCCGCGCTGGGTCGAGAGCGCCATTCTGAACGACGGGAGCAAAGCGACAATCGTGAAATGGGGCCAACGCTCCAGCAAGAGCACCATGTTTGCGCATCCAGAAGACCCCAAGTTGCATCCAAGAGGTTTCTGATCTACATACGTACCATGCACGGTGGCGGGATGGGCCGAATGCCACCAGATCCCCCGCCCCCTGTGCTTGCCACAGGGGTGCCCGGCGTGCTAGACGCTGCCGTTTTTGGTTTTGGTTCGTCTTCCTAAAGAACTCTTTCCCTGGGGCTTAGGCCTGCCCCGCCGGCCACCCGGAAGGACCCGGACGGGTGCTCAAAATGCCGGGGTGTTTGCCCCAGTCGTTTTCAAGACGGCCAAGATGGCCCAAGATGGCCTCCAAAATGCATCCAAGACGGTCAAGATGGCCTCCAGGACGGCCCAAGAGGGTTCAATATATTTCCAAGTCCACCCAAGAAGCCTCCAACACGGCCCAAGATTGCCCAAGAGGTGCCCAAGAGGCCTCCAACATGGCCCAAGAGGCCTCCGAGAGGTCTTCCATGAGGGCTCGAAGAGGCTAAAATCATTGATGCTCCTCAGCGTTTTGAAGGATTCTCGTATTAGCTCCTTTTCGGCCTTCCGACGGCCCAAGACGGCCCAAGACGGCCCCCAAGATCTCCCCCAGAGCGCCCAAGATGCCTCCAAGATAGCCTCAGGAATGCCCAAGAGGTCCCCAAGACGGTCCCAAGAGAGCCCCAAGACGGCCCGAGAGGTTTCTAAGACGCCCAAGATGGCATCCAAGACGGCCCTGGAGAACCCCAAGAGGGCCCCAAGTCGGCCCAGAGAAGCCCCTAAGACGGCCTCAAGAGAGCTCCAAGACGGCCCAAGAGGCCTCTAAGACGCCCAAGAAAGCCTCCAAGACGGCCCTGGAGCATTCCAAGAGGGCCCCAAGTAGGCCCAGAGAGGCCCCCAAGACGGCTTCCGACGGCGTCAGACGGGCCAGGAGCCCACCATGATGGCCCAAAATGGCTCTAAGATGGCCCAAGACAGCCCGAGAGGCCTCCAAGAGGACCTCCAGGAAGTCCCGAAGAAGCCCAACTCAGTGATGTTTCGTAGATTTTTGAAGGATTTGGGCATTTTTCTTTTTTGGGCCCCACCGACGGGTCCCCAAAGATCGTCCCCAAGGTCGCCCAAGATGCCTCCAGGATGGCCTCAGGACTGCCCAAGAGGCTCCCAAGACGGCCCCAAGACGGCCCGAGAGGCTTCCAAGACGCCCAAGGACGGCCTCCAAGACGGCCTTGCCCCGAGAGGGCCCCAAGTCGGCCCAGAGAGGCCCCCAAGATGGCTTCCGACGGCGTCAGACGGGCCAGGAGCCCACCAAGACGGCCAAAAAGGCCCCGAGAAAGGCCGCCAAGAGGCCCAAGGAGGCCCCAAAGATGCCTCCAAGAGGCTCCCAGGAAGCTCCCAGGAGGCCCCAAGAGATTCCCCGGAGGCTCCCAAGATGCTTCCTCCTCCACCTCCTCCTCTCCCTCCGCCTCCTGATATTCCCCGCCATCCTCCCCCAAGTGTTCCCCGAAGGGTTTCCACAAAGGTCGGAGGAACACATGATCCGATAGTTTGGCAGAGTTCTTGCCACAACGCTCGGCCACATGGGCGATTCTGGAAGGCAGGGGGCGGCGGTGATTCGCCGTAGGCGTCTTCGATCCGCCGCCGCCTCTTGTGATTTGCTTTTGTTTTGTGGTTGTTTAAATCGGTTTTAGTGGGCTGTGTTTTAGTTAGAACGACGGCCACCGGAAAAGCCGCGTAGAACATGGGAGGCAAGGCCTGAATCGCCTCGACGAGGGCCAAGATGGCTTTCAAAATGGCCACCACCATGGCTCCAAGACGGCCGAGACGGCCCAATATGGTTTCGAAGACTGTCCCGAGACGCCCCCAAGACGGCAGGGACGGCCCCACGACGGCTCAGGATGTCCTCCACACGGCCCAAGAGGTCTCAGAGTGGACCAATACACTGGGGACCCATGCCAAGAGACACCTTGCTCGCGTCGAGGGTGCCCTGGGTTTCTTGGGCTTCGATGGTCTTGCTATGGGGAGCGTGACGCTCCTACGCCAAAAAACGATGGACGTTCTGGGGTCTCGGGGGCCAGGCTTCTTGTGGAAGGTTTCTTGTGTTCGGGCCCCCGCTGTGGCCATTCTGGCTCAAGCCTCCGCACCTCGCCTCCCAGCCCCTGCGCTTCGGGCGCCCAGGCCCTGCCGCTCGTGCCCTCCCGACGGTCGCGCACCGATGGCGCCCCTGGCGCGCCTCGCCTGTGCTCTCGGCTGCGCCCTCGCAGTGGCCTCGACCTCCGCACCGAGCCTCCGCGGCGCGAGCAGCGGCACCTCCGTCGCACCGGGGAGCGCCTCGGCCGCACCGGAGAGCACCTCGGCGGCACCGGACCTTGTCCTGCCGAGGCCCACCTTCGAGGTGGAGGTGCTCCCGGGGGAGGCCACGGGCCCTGACCGCAGGCTGCAGCCGAACTTTACCCTGCCGCTGCCCACTTTCGAGGTGGAGGTGCTCCCCGAGAAGGAGGTACCAGCGAACTTCATCCCGCCGAAACTCGCCGTGGAGAATTGCACCAGGCCGTGGTGTCTATGAGTGAGATACGGATGTGATCAGCGAGCTTGATGGCACTCTGAGCTTTCTTGGCTGCTCCCAGGATGTGGCCAAATCAGGGGGGTCCAGACTCACCGCGTAGAACGCGTAGAATCAATGGTTTTGGGCGCTCTACCACGGCTAGCTCACGACAACCATGGGTAGCACATAATTCAATGTACAGCAAGATCAGGTGTAGCTCATGTAGAAGCAGTGATCCTGAACACCATGTCATGGGAATTCGGACTTACCAGCATGGGGTGTGAGGGGGCGAATCCAGGGCTGACGGTGGGGCGACATTTTGGGAGGGGAGCAATCCGCACATTTGCACGGTGCTGGCCGTTCTTCAACACAGGCTGTCGTGCCACTCCTGGCTCTTGCGCCACAAGAGCGCAGCGGCCCAGGATGCAGCGCGCAGTTTGCCCACGACGCGAGGAGAGATGGTCATCGCCGAAGAAGTCTCGACGAGGACCTCCAGGACGCCAACGCCATGGAAAGCCTTTGGTTGTGGAGGACGATCAATGGAGAGGAAGCATGCGCCAAATAATTTCCAGATGTCTAAAGCATGTGTTAAATATGCTTAAAACATGTTTGGAACAATTTTCTGAAATGTTCACAACATGTTAAGCTCAACGATAGGACTGTTAGGGTGTCCATTGTCGTGGCATCCACAAGCCTTTGGGTACTTCAATGGCTGCAGCGTTCTCGCTGGTTCGGGGTTCCGACGCTCCAAGACGGCCCCATGAGCCCTTGATCTTGCCCCGCTACCGCCCTCAAGAGGCCCACAAGACAGCCCAAGAGGGCCCTAAAACAACCCAAGAGGCCCTCACTACGGCCCCCAGACGGCCCAAGACGGCCCCATGGACCTCCAAGATTGCCCTGAAACACCCAAAGAGGGACCCACGATTGCCCAGAGAGGGCCCCCCTTCCGAAGGCCAAGCAATCCTCTACCGGCTCCCAGAAGCCCCCAAGTGGTCCCCAAGAGGCTCCAGGAACCCCCCCAAAGACCACAGGATGCCCCCCCGGACGCTTCTTAGAGGCCCCAGGAGGCCCCCAGGAGGCCTTCAAGAGGGTCTCAAGGGGCATCCTCTTCTCCCTCCTCCCTCTCCTCATCCTTACTCTTCCTCTCCCATATATTCCCCCAGTGGTTTCCACAGCGTCTAGGGGAAGACATAATGCAATAGCTCGGCAAGACGTCGGCCCAACGTTCGGCCGCAGTGGCGTTTCCACACGGCAGGGGGCGGCGATGATTCGTTGTTTGCGTCTTCGATCCGCCGCCCCCTTATGGCTTGCCACAGGGGTTTACGGCGTGCCACAGATCTTGGTGATTGCTGGGTTATTTGATGAGGTTCCTAGTTGGGTCTCGTCCCGACCCGACCGACGGCCACCCGTAAAGCCGTGTAGAATGCAGGAGGCAAGGTTTGCCACGATGGCCAAGATGGCTTCCAAGGTACCTCCAAGAGAGCCAAGATGACTTCCAATACTGTCCCACGATGCCTCCAAGACGGTCAAGATGGCCCCAAGACGCCCCAAGATGGCCCCAAGAGAACTTCCAGGGTGGCCGAATTCATGGATTTTCCATACGACGTGTTTCAATGCTTTTGACGTTTTCGTTTTCCGGACGCCGGGCGCTCCAAGATGGTCTCGTAGGCCCCTGAGATCGCCCCAAGACGGCCCAAGATGCCCCCAAGAGGCCAGCAAGACGGCCCAAGAGGGCCTCAAGACGAGTCAAGAGGGCTCCAAGGCGGACGGTCTCAAGACGGCCCCATCGACCTCCAAGACGGCCCTGAAGTGCCCAAAGAGGCAACCACGGCTGCCCAGAGAGGACCCCAAGACGGCCTCCGAGCCCCTCAAACGGCCTCCAAAGGCCGAGAGATTTGTTAGAGGCCCCCAGAGGCCACCAAGACGCTCCCACGAGGCCTCAGCGAAGGCCCCCAAGAGGCCCCAGGAGGCCCCCAGGAGGCCCCTCATAGGTCCCCGAGAGGCTCCAAGGAAGAAGGCCCCGACGGCGGCGGCGGCGACGACGACGACGACGACGATGATGACGACGACGACGACGACGACGAAAGACGACGACGACCGCTCGCGAGGGGCGCCCGTTCGAGGGGGCGGTCAGGCCTCTACTCGGTGGCCTTCTCCGAGATCCTTGGCCAGGACCGCGCCACGCCGCTGACCCCCGCGTGGAATTCGTCGTCGTTCTCGTCGTCGCCGTCGCAGTCGTTCGAGGATTGAGGCCCGAAGATGGGGGAGGTTTTCGGGCTTTTCGGGCCTCCTCGTCGCCACGGCGGGATTCGCCTCGAGATTCTGGTCAGGGTGCGCCCCAGTGCAGAACCAATGGCCGATTTCGAGGCAGGGACGTCGCAGTCGTCAGCGTCCTCTTCGTCCCTCCCTCCCTCCTTCCTGCTTTCTTTGTCTCCTTCCTCCTTCCTCCTCCCGCCCCCCCCTCCTCCCGCTCGTGATCCGCGTCGTCGTCCTGAGGATCCCGTCAGTGTTTACAGCAGCGTTCTTCTGCAGAGGTGCCGAAAGCGCTTGTTGTGCAGGCACGAAGCACCTGTTCCGGTTCGCGCATGTGCAGAGCATTCGTATCCAGTCGCCGCCAGGCGGACCTCACTTGGACTATCGTGATTGGGTCGTTGCGTCTGCTCGGCGTGATGCCCCTCGATGCAGTTTGCTCAAATGTCAATATTTGAGCCTTCGGAGGAGGAGGAGGAGGATGTGAAGGGGAGGAGGCGCAGGGGAGGAGGAGGTGAAGGAGGAGCACAATAAGGAGGTACTGGAGGGATTTGGGAAGGACGGGAAGGAATTGGGAGGAGTGGGGAACATGGTGAGGATGTGCTGTGTTCTTCTTCCGCAGTGGAAGTGAGGAGAGCGGGATCATTTCATTGCAGGGGTAAAGGGGGGAGTGTGAGTAGGAGTCGAAGGAGACATCTCGAGCGGGTCAGCTGGCTCTGCTGCGTCCCGTGCCGGCTCCAGCTGCATTAGGATCGGCATCGTCACAAACCACAGTAGCTAGCCACATGCAATATTTCGGGCCGCTTTGGCGCGTGAGTTCCACCGTGAGGCCGCGATTGCCAGACGGGGGGAAGACAGGACGGTCGCTGAACCCCAATACACAGTAAAGTCAACGTGGGCGTCGGCAATATCCACCCGACAGGTTGGGACTGTTCGATACAGGTAAAGAAAAGCGCTCCCGACCCACCTCGCACACACTTCATGCCACGGGCGCCAGGCCCCAAGTGTGCCAGTGCTCCCTGAGTATCCACCCGGCGTCTTCGACGAATGACGACCTCATTCCGCGGCCGCCGGACCCAAAGTGTGCAGGTGGTCCTTGGGGATCCCGCCGCGCTTTCTCGGATGGGGACCGCTCGACACAAAATCGTGTTACTTGTTTCAAGCTGCGCCTTGACGTGCTTTGGGGCACACTGGATGTGTTTAGCAAGCATGGTCAAGATTCGTTGCGATTGTTTTGTGGTGACTGTGTTTGTGGCTGTGACGTTTGTCGTGGTCGCGGTTATGCAGGTGGCTTCGTTGGTGGGTGTGTCTGTGGTCGCGTTGGTGGTTGTGCATGCGACAGAGCTTCTGCCTGTGCTGATGGTTTGTGCTCGTGGGCGACCGTGCTCTTGGTTTGCGCCGCGGTCAAGAGATACCGCCCTGGCCGCCGGCGCCGCAGGCAGCCGCGCCGCAGGCCCGGCCAGCAGCGTGGCGGCGCCACCGCCAGCAGGGGCGCCACCGCCACGCCGAAGCTAACGTCCCTCTGCGGACGAGTCGTCGCCGGCGGGCCCAGTGCCTTCCGCCGCCGGCCGGCCGAAGTGGCAGGGGGCACTCGGCGAGCGGCGCCAGCGCCCACGGCCGCGTCCACCAAGCGGAGCCCTGCACGCTCGCTCGGGGGCGGCGCGGCGCCAGCGCCTCCGTGTCCCGCACTCGCAGGCGATGCCTCAGCCGCGGCTGCAGCTGCAGGGAACGCCGAGCGCGTCACAGCGGCAGCCTGCCAGGAGCTCCACCCTCACGGCCGCCCAGACGGGGCAGCCGACAACCGCAGCGTCGAGGACCATCCTTGGCCCTTGAAGTTGATTCTTGAGCCGAGAGGGTGCGGCTCGTTGTGCTTGTGGTTGGGCTGGCGGTTACGCTGGTGGTTGGGTTGGTGATTGTTTTGGTGTGCAAGTGTTTTTGCTGGTAGGTTTGCTGGTGGGTGTGCTGGTAGTTTGCCAGGGTCCGCTGAACACCTGCAAGCGTGGCAGCAGGGGACCTGCCACCGCGTGCGCAGGGAATGGGATAGGACATAGTTCGGTTAGTGGTTGCATCCCATCCTCTGTCGAGGACAACATGGTTCAATAGTTTGTTGCCCAGATCTTTCTTCACGGCTGCGGCGCCTGGGTCGTAAAAAGTTGTTTGGAGGAATCTAATATTTCTGATTGTGCAGCACCTTATGCAGGCTGACAGTCGTCACGAAGCATCAGGACTCACTGCAATTGGTTGCGGAGCGTTGGTGGTTAATATTCGCAGTGGTCGTAGATATCATGCTCAGCAATCTAGATCAAGATGGAACGATGAACAGTCTATGATGCCAAGGCCGAGCACACTGCAACGGTCAGGAATGCCTACGTAAGGTCCCAGGATGGTTCGGATGTGGTCCCAGAGCCTCCCAAGGTAGAGCGGTAATGAATATTCTAGTTGGTTGACGCTTCGTATCCACCAGTCCATCTAGGAACGATTGCCAGGCGAGTTACCCTGAGCAGGTAAGCGTAGGAGCTTGCAGTGGAAGGCAGAGGTGAGGAAGCCATCCATCCGAAGCTCGGGGTCCGCCCGAGAATATCCAGGACCAGGCAAAAGAACTGCTGAGCCTGCCGTCGAAAGAGGCGAAGGCGAAGGAGAAAGTGGAGAAGCAGGTGGACGAGCTACCAGGCTCGCGTATAATACAACATGTTCTGCGTACACTTGAGACTTACCCGCCCTGTCTATCATGTATTATTTCATTTGGTGGGGTTTGATGGCCCCCAGGTTGTGTTTTCAGAGTTGGTAGTTCGATGGGATGAACACGCCGCTTCTCTATTTCGAGTTGGGGGTCTGATGGGTAGGCCAACGCCCCCAACAAAAGTTGGGGGCCTTACATACCATCAGAAACAATACAACTTAAAACCTATGCTAGGAGCAGCGCCAGCAACTGTGTGTGCACTTACCGTGCGTGCGAAGCTGTTTGGGCCCCTCCTTCGGGACTCCCTTGGGGCTCCCCAGTGGTTCCTGGACCCCCTATCGGACCCCTGCCCCTCAAGGCGCCTCCCCTTGGGTCCCCTCTTGTGGCCCCTCCCTTGGGGTTCCAGCTTGGAGCCTAATAGTAGGTGGGGAAATAGGGCGTTGCATGACGGCCCACGCCGCGGCGCAACCTATGTGGTGCAACCCTTGGCGCCGAGTAGGTTAGATGCTGGTGCGATGCAGCCAACGCGCGTGCGACCAACAACAACAACAACAGTTCTCACGTTGACATGCGATTCCGAAAGTTGACGCCCTTTCCACCATAACAATTTTTTGCATCAAACCGCTGACGGCCTGTGCGACTTCGCAAGTCATGGCGTCTCCTTCGCCTGAGCAGTGGCTCAGCGACGAGGAGTTCAGCCCTTTCAGCCTGCCGGCGCCTGTGCTGGAGGCGTCGCCGCCCGCGAGGGCGGGCGAGGACAGCTGCAGCCAGGAGGAGAAATGGCTGGACGCGGCTGACGAGCCGCCTGGGCGGCGCCATCGTGGCGCTGGAGCCGCGGGAGGCTGCGCTGCCGCTGGCGGAGCGCCAGACAGCAGCAGGGCCGCCTTTGGGGCAGCGCGCCGCCATCGGCCCGACCGACCCCGTTGCCAGCGTGGCGAGTGTGATGGTTCAGCGGGTATATCCAAACACCTTGCAGCCCGTTGGTCTGGAGAGCGCTTCGCGATTGTCTTCTCGACGCGGTCTTTTCGCGAGCCGATTTCGAGAGAAGGTGTATGCCGTGGGACACGCCGCCTGGATGACTGGCCAGAGGCATGTTGCTGCCATCGTGCCGAGGCTTGTGGCCGTCTGCAAGGCGTCGCGTGGTCCAGAGGCAGCTGGCGGCCCTCGGACGGATGCTGTCATTTTCTTCCGCAAGAGGAAGTAAGACGGCACGCGCAGCCGAGTGACTACTCAGGTCGCCCAGCAGTATGACACCGACACCATCGTCGAACGATGTGCTGGCACGCGAGAGTTGTTTGTCATCAAAGCTGGCTTCAGCATGGTGCTTCGCAGGCGTTTCGATGACAGGGACGACTTCCTCCATGTCATTGCCAACACTCCCACACACATCGGTGTGTTAGAGTCAGCAACAGCGGAGATCATCAATGTGTGCTTGCATCGGCAACTGGACCAGGTGTATGACAAACTGGTGGATGAGCGGATCCCTCGGCAAGTGGATGTCACCGGGTGTGACGGCGCAAGCAGCAACCTGAAAAATGAGCGCATGATGGCCGTGCAGCACCCTCTTCGCGCCCAGATTGTGGTTGTTTGCCGCGCCCACGGTAAAAAAGAAGGTCGCCGAGCAGGGCTACGCGGTCCCCCGCCCCACCGACAGCAGCATAATACGGTGTCAGCTGACCTTGCCCTCTGAACACCTCATCGCTGTGCGGCACAACGCCAGGCTCATCCACGATGAACAGGTTGTCGTCCGCGTCGGGTGCTGTTCTGCTGAGGCGACGGCTCGCAGGGAGGCGGTGTTCGACCTATACTTCAGCGACACCGCTGACGCGAGTCTCCAGTTCAGAGCAGCTGTGTGCAGGATGCTTTACAACGGCGACATTCGGACAACTGGTGTCATCGAGCATTACTGCAACGGGTGTTGCCGCAATCGTGACCATGCTGTTTTTTGATGCGCCGTTGCGGCGTGGCTGCACTGTTTGGGTCCGTGGATGTCCTCAATCGTGCTAACTGGACGAACAAGATGAAGAGCCATCGCTGCATCGGCCTCCCCGCTGCAGTGCACGGGCTTCTCCAGCAGGCCTACTTGCGCGGCGCGCCAGGGCCTCGCGAGGCCAAGCGGCAGCGCCAGCAGGAACCTGAGGCGCGAGCTCAGCCCGAGGAGCTGGCTGCTGCTGGCCACGACGGGGGCCCCGAGTCTCCAGGGCTACGGCCAGCTCCTGGGCGCGGGGCCGACGATGACGGC